AACAATAAATAATTAACCAATCAGCTGATGATATTAAAATATAGAAAAAAATAGAATATCATTAATTTATACTAGATCTAGTATCATTAACTAATAAAACAGATGACTGGGAAATTTGAGACAGGAATGGGTGATGTTAATATTAGAGACGGTCTAAGACTAATGAATACTACCATTTTAGGCCCGGTTCACACAAGCGACTTATCTAGCTGACTAGGCTGTGACTAGGTAAGCCCGACTGGGTAGAGGACTACCGGATTAAATGGAACCGTTCACACAAGCGTAGGGCGACGACTAGCGAGCCGCGTTCGAGCTTGGTGTCCCAAACTATTGTCGGGCCCCGCTTCCAAGTCACTCATGGCAGCAACCCAGTCGCCCGCTCTAGCGGCTTAGCAGTATGGCCCCTATGGGAGCGATCGGTCGTCACGCTGCAGCTCGCATTCTTCCCTTTGTTCTCATTGTCGCCAGTGATGGATCCGAGTAACATTGATATCGATATTTGTATTGAATCAATGAAGCAACAACCGTTTCTTTGGAACAATTATCTTTATAGGCCTATTATTAGTATTACAAGTCCAAATATAGGAATAAGCTAAATATAAATTTGTAACCGATTAATAGGTTTATAATATAATTTTATATTGACCCTATACACTCTAAACAATGATGTTTTTTCAACCAAACTTTATAATAGTTTAAATGATAGTTTGTTGGGTGATTCCAATGCAAATTTAGTTTTGAAATGATTCGATAATTGTTTAAAACATCGTTATTGTCCAAAACATCAATGTAAAAAAAAAAATTCACTTACCATTGACGCAAAAACATCAAATATTTCCAGAAATATGTCAACGTATCGAAAATATTGATGTATTGAAAACATCGATGTATTAAAAACATCGTTTATCGATGCACATTCATTTACGTCACACCTACGACCTAGTCCGTTGACATGTCGCTCGTGTGAACCGGTGTATCCTTTGGTCCGCTACCCATTCGGGCTTACCTAGTTACAGCCTAGTTAGCTAGATAAGTTGCTCGTGTGAACCGGGCCTAAGAAGCGAAATGCTCAGTCATGGAGAATAGTCAGCTTGGAATTTTGCCACCGAAATGAGCTTTGCGCGGCCGCACTACTCTATCTTACTCGGTAAACTGACTTGGCCGCGCGTTCAAGATAGTCTACGATGCCGATTTCGCAAGAAATGAGACATTAAAGGTAAAAAACAATTGTTGCATACAATACCACTCTACATATAGGCTACATGTGGTTTTTTTCACACTCAGTGGGGTCTTAACTCAATATATAACTGAAATTCAAATCTAATTGACTAGACTAGTGCTGAAATAAACTTTCCATGCACAAACCTGAGGCCCATGTGGACAGGCAAATGTGAGGTAAAAAGGTTAAATAAACCCTGAATTTAACTGGTTCTATCAATGTTTTATAGGTATGGCTAATGTTTTTAATAGAGTTAGAATAATCTAAATGGCATTTTTACTAAGTACAATATCCAAACTAACAGAAGAACTTTGTACAGTTTCCAATGGCAACCTAAATACAGGGTGTCAATAGAACTCTTGGGGTTTTCAAATACATATCTTAACAGATTGGAAATATGAAGTTAATTCCTTAATAACAGTTCAACTCATTGTACCAACCAATTGTAAATTTTTGGTCAGCATTTGTTGGCAACACTGTGGCACATAAAATTTGAAAAAATCTAGAGCTGCAATGCCTTACGGAAAATGTTGCTATGGTGACGGGTGCTAGTAAATGAGGAGTTTTTTTATAAACGCCCTTTACTCATAATAATTTCTTATCACAAAGAAATAAGTACGGTACCGTAAATTGAAATAGGAAAAAATACCTCTTCATCAATCTGGGTGTGGCTTGCTGCAGCCACTTCTTGATTGAGTTCCTTCTTCATATTCTCAGCCGATGTTTCTCAATGTTTTCTCCTGACAGCATCTATAAATTAGAAAAAGGTGCACTAAACATACAAAATGAGTAAAGTACCAGAGCATAAATACACCTGAAGCAGCAAACCTGCAGACTATCAATTCGTCTTAAACTGGATTTATGCTTAAAGATTTCCATAAAGCATATTTTGAATAAAGTTAGATCTAACTAGTAACATAGACAAAAAGAATTAAATATAGACTGTCAGCCGTGCAGTGGTTACCATAGGTTCTGGCACACAATGATGGGAGCGCCATGTAGTTACGTAGTGCGTAGGCCGTAACTGCATAGCGCTCCCAGCGGTGTGCGCCAGAACCTATGGTAACTGCAGCACAGCTGACGGTCTTTTTATATTTAATTCTTTTTGTCTATGCTAGTACTTAGGTTTTCTACTATGGGGAATGCAAAAATATGTTTTTTTGAGCAAATGTTAATATTAAGGTGAAATAGACTAAATAAAGTTGCTAAATTTGATCAACATAATATATCTACAAACAAGCAAACTATATACAAAAGCTCGCTCCGGCACATAGCCTATTTTTATAATATATGTAGCCCTACCTAATGTCAAGATTTTCCACAAATGGAGAAAGGCGATAATGATGTTCCGTTACTGTAGGGGGTATTCAGGATTTTTATGTGACCGCGGGAGACAATAATCTTTTGGCCTACATAACTTGATCTAAAGCAAAGTGACGTTTAAGCGTTTCGATGCTAGAAAATTTTTTGGAATGTTCCGAAAAAAATTATAGGCTAAGTAAGAATTACAGGAGAACCTTGATAAAAAGGCTCTCAAGGGGATTATAAAATAAGACTTGTTATCAAGGTTGTCTTATTATCGAGGTTTGCAATAACATGTGATTAGGGGTAAAATAAATTCTAGGGGATTTAAAAATGAGACTTGTTATCAAGGGTGACTTGTTATCGAGGGTCTTGTTACTTGTCATCAAGGTTCCACTGTATTTACTTATTTCGTCCGAAAAGTGCTAAGCTTGCCACGAGGGCAAAGTCTATTGTGCGAGAAAAGAATACGCATCATTTTGATAATAAGTAACTTAGGCCTAAGTTAACTTTTATCCTTACTCATCCAAAAACTTATTGCAGACGGCTCTATGTGAAACTGTAAGTACCAGGGAGGGTAGGCCTATGTTTAGCCTAGTCCTTTTGATTGACTTAGTAGAGTCTATCAAGGCTAGCAGCCTACAGTCGAGGTGCTAATTAACACATGAGTTAGGTTAGCTAAGTAGCTTAAGTTATTATGGGACCCTAACATAACAAATGAACATGAACATTCCCAATAGCAAATTACTAGGTGTTTTGACACTTTGTGACAGAATAAAATGTGCTGCAGTTTTATATCAAATCATTTATATCAGCCCTCAGGTTTATTGGGCTACCAATAATGAATCATTATTAAAACATTTCCTGGAAAAGTTTTTAACAAACACTAAATTGACTGCCAATTTTTCAAGTGATCAAGTGAAAACAGATTTTAAAAAAGTTAAGAAGGTATAAGATGTGATAAATGTACATCTGATGTACATAAATCATAAATCAAATAGCCTAGGGCAGGCCTTTTAGCTAGGTACCGGTAAGACTTTTGTGAGTTATGTCTAGACTAGGCCCAGGCTCTAAATCAAACGGTTGATGCTTAAATCATTATATTAATAACTTATAAACTTAAGTTAAGTTGGCTGCTTTAACTTATTTAAAATTACTGATTAACTTACTGCTAAATCTAGGTTATTCTACTCACCTGAAAATCGCAGTAGGTTTCAAAGTTATCACCGAGGAAAACTACTAATTAACCAAAAGCACTTATAAATTTACTTAGGGCTGTATACAAACTTTATAAACTTAAAAATTTAAACTTAACGCGAAATATAAACTCAAAACTTAAGGAAAAATAAACACTTAACCGAAAACAAGAAAGAACAAGCGCAGACGCCAGACGGCCAAACAAACACAAATAAAATGGCGGTTGTTTTGTTGTTGTGTAGTAGACTGACTAGCGCCGCTAGCGCTGCGATGGATGAAAATTACAACTACGTTGCTTGTCGTGATACACCTTCCACGAATTGGCCCCAAGCTGTTCCCCGTAAGCCTTCTTCACAAGCGTGCCACAAGTCTGGCACAAGTTGATATAAAAAGGCCTTTCCAGACAAGCCTTTGACAAGGCTTGCCGTAAGCTTACGTGTTACCTGGGAAAAGAAGTTTTGTTTTATTTCATGATGGCCTCTGGATCGTTTGAATAAACTTATAAAGATAAAGCATATGTTGAAAAGATTACTTGATGCTGAAAACAGTATTACAAGTCTTGTATTTAATAATTTAATTCTATTTTCGTCCCATGGCAAATAGAAAGTTACAATAATCAAGGTGTAATAGACTTGTAAAAGGAATTAAAGTAACTAAAGATAATCCTGCAAAAGAACGACCGGCTGAAATGTACTGGAAAGGGAAGTAATAGGTAACAAAAACAATAGTATTATTTCACCTATTACCGAAAAGCTAAGGAATGTTCCTGACTATTACTGCAAAGTAATGGTATTTCCCATCTCAATTATTTTATGATGTCTAATTACAGGCAAACTGAAAATATGCTAGATGAAAACAAATCTTATAGTCTTGTAAAGAAGTAACTCAATTTTTCAGATAGGCTTGGCACACTCGAAATCTTACAAAGTAATGCAAATATACAGAATATCATAATAAAATATATAAAGAACATTGTTTTTCTAATGTTTAAACGACCCCAAAAAAACTCTGTGTGTCACCGATTGTGTTTTAAAATCAAGTACACCCATGAAGTGTAAATGGAGGGTAGGGATGTGTTTGCCAAGTGGTGTGGTCTAAATACAACTATATTTATTAATTATTTATATCCTATACAAGGATAATTTAGATAGCAACATTTAAAATCATAAAATTAAATAGTGCATAACAAATCCTTAGGGTCAAAGATAGGGATAAGATAGGGCAAAACCTATCTTATAAACAATTTTGATAGAAAATTTCATTATAATTAATTGTTTTTCAGGAGTTACTCTTATCATGGAAGAGGGAGAGTGGAAACAACTGGCTATTGAAAAGCAGGCTGCTTATTATGAAACTTTGGGATCAAGACATTGCGATGAAATTGATAAGAAAGACCTTTTCCTGCTTAAAAAAAAAGTGGGATATGCTACGTGTGGGAAACCAGAAGAATTGCCCAGCAGTACAAATTACAACACGGGGTATAAGAAAGAGGAATTGAAGCACATAAAATCTATCTGCGATAAAATTATAGAAAAGAGTGATCGTGATCCAATCAAATTTTCTTGTACAATACTAATCCTCAATCTCAAAGGCTCCCTATGTGAAACGCCAGTTTTTAGGATTATAACTGACACTGGGAACTTATTCATTGATATTAATTCCAGAGTTTACCTGAACTGGGATATGTTTATTGAAAATAACAAATTACCTGAATGTGAATACTGCTTCCCAGTAGGCGGAGAGTATGATATGGAAAAAGAACTTGTTGTGGGCTTTGCCTTTTCGCCTGCAAGTAAGCTATTCAACAAAGCTACAAACTGTTTGGACACAGCTGGATCAGTGGCAGCCGTAGCTGCTGCAGGTGTTTTTGCTGCAGGAGCATTTGTGTCTGTGGCACCTGTAGCCCTCTCTGCAGCAGGAGCTACTGCTCTCTGCACTGGAGTGTACAGTGTAACTAGGAGTGTTGGCTCTTTGTATGATAGGAATAAACATGATCAATCCATCGGACTGAAAGATCAAGAGTCCAGATCTGCCTGGATGGCCATTGGATCATCAGCAGTTGGCTTGTCGCAAATGGCTGCACTCAGAGGAGCTCAAAAAGTAGTTGAAAGTGGTCGATCCTTAGGTAAGCTCAGTGTATTTGGATTACACGCACTAACAGCATCTTCTCTTGTGATCAGCGGTTTTGGCTTTGTAGAAAACCTCTTCAACTTTGCTGATAAGTACAACAAAGGGAGCCTTTCGAAGAAAGATGTTTTTGACCTATCATGTGAGTTGTTGTTTCTTTGCAATGCAATTGCCTCAGCAAAAGCGACATCACAGCTTGTTAACAATATGAATCTAGCTGTAGTGGAAGCATCATCTCAAAAGAAGTTGACCAAGACTCAGAAAAGAAATTTAAGAAGACGAGTTGCTAAAAGAAAAGCAAAGGGTTTACCAGTTAATGTTTCTGAGGAAACCAATAAATTTGCAACGGTGGGAATATCAGGAACCCTACAGTTGCTTTTGTTTGAGGCTGTGAAAGCATATTCTCCGAGATTGCAAGAGATTCTTTATACATGCCAATCTATCGGTCATGATGTAATGTGCTGGAGAACTCATGAAATTTCTGATTTTGTTCTGTTGAAAAATCTGGGAGAAAAATTCATAAAACTGTACAACAACCATAAAGATGAAATCTTGGAAGTTGTGAACCGGATAAACAAATTTTTCAGTTCAATTATTGATGAATTCTTACAATTTGTCTCCAAATTATTTGAAACTGCCTCTGAGGAACTGAAACAGATTTTTTGCTCCAAAGTAATTGATATGGAAGATGAGATGGAATTATTGATCAATGAAGCTGAAGGATCGGTTATTAGTTTGCATGAGAGTTTGAAGTTGGATTACAACCCCGCCAGTTTCGACTGCAATGATGAATGTGAAAGCCTAGATGATGATAACCTCAATCCAGAAACTCAAAACCTTCTGAAAAGTTGCAGTGAGGTTATTGATGCAAGTAATTTGTGTTGCAATGATATTGAGGATTTTGAAGACATATTAGATTCTGTAAAACATGTCGTTGTAAGCGAGCATAAAAGAAAACTTGACGAATACATGAAATCCCTAAAAGCAGCTAAAGCAGCATCAGGGGATGGATTCAGTGTTGAAATATTCCATAGCATGCTTGGGGTACGAGGGGAAGTAAGTAATCACATATTGAAAGAAATTTTAAGTGAAGTAACCACTGATAGTACTATTTACAAAATCAAATCCAAGCTCAAAGATATGAAAAACACTAAAGATCGAAGCACTATACCTGTGTGGGAAGCTTTAACTTCTGGAATGTACCAATACTACGGTCCTCATGGCACAGGTGAATTGTCCTTAGATAAGTTACTCCTTGTTGTAAAAGATGCTGTGGGGCCCATTGTTGTTGACAACAAACGCCTTAATCTTGATGCAGAAAACCTTTCTCGCATCCAAGAAAAGGACATAGTCATGTTTTCAATCAATGATCAACCAAATGTACAAATTGTAGTTTTTTGTGGTATAACAGAAGAAAACACTGCAACAGGTTTAATAATGGTAGTAAAGTAGGCCTAAACAATGCTCAGAATTGATTTTATTTTAGAAATCAGGTGCGTTTATATTTGATCCAAGCGTGTTATAATCTATAATACCAAATATAACCCATTGACAACGACTTTCAGGTCTAGCACATCACCTCAATTCGCCGCGAGATAGTCATACTGCTAACCCACCAGCCCTCTAGTACATATAATTTTTAAATCAAATTTAAAAAAAACTAATTTTTAAATGTTGAATCTAGCCTGCAAGCGCTAGTGTCATCGTGTGCTTAAACCCGTTTGGCCGACGGTGTCATGATAGTTCAGTTGGCTAAGTCTGATGAGTGTAGTGTTCAAGTTTTTTCTACATGCACGGGTTCAAATCCCTGACATATGTAATCCATATTGAGCCTGTTACAGAGTGTCCACATTCTGGAAAGTCAGGGATAGTCATGGAAAGTCATGGAAAAAAACTTTGGTCATTGAAAGTCAGGGAAATAGGCAAGAAGTCATGGAAAGTCATGGAAATTTCCAATTATGGATGGATTTGAGGGGACCATTCAATGCTCTAGTCAGCCGTAACCCGGACTGTTGTAGCATTTTTTAGGATTTTTCACAGATGTTCGACAATTCAATTTATTACAGTTGTATTATTTTATGATTTTTCGGTTTGTTTTAGTTAATTGTTGTACCTATTGTACTCCATTGTTATCTGTTATTACATATTTCAGTATTTTCTGCAAAATAACATGTCCAGGCAGTATTATTTGTGTGTGTATGTTGTATTATAATTTGCGTGTTTAGTTCGTGAGTCATGGAAATCAATGGTAAATGGTCATGGATAGTCATGGAAAGTCATGGAAATTAATGACAAATCTTTTGTGGACACCCTGCTGTTAATGTATGGCTTAGATGGAGTGGAGGACCTACCTTAAATAAGCAGTGTCCGCGGCTTGGGTGGAAGTTACAGCATTAGTAATTTCAAAACGGTTGCACACAACATCTGCTCTGCTTCTTTTTAAATTGATACAGAGGAGGACACAGATTTTTTTTAAGTATGGACAAGTCTGTTGAAATACATGTACGTTTATAAACATAAAAGGACATTTTCAAAAAAATATTATGGATGAATTTAAAAAAAAATCTGTCGTCAATGGGTTAATGTATATCAAATGCTAATTAATGTATATCAAATGCTATCAGGTGCTAATTTAACTCTTAGCTAGTTAACTCTAAACCGAATGGTTTAACCAGCTTTTCCCAAAATTAATCCATAGAAAAGTGTAGAGGTTTTTGATGTAGAAACTTGATTCTAGTCGTTTAATCTTCTGACTAATAAATAATGCTGGCTGCTGAATCAGATGTTCTAGATAACAAAGCAATTAAACCATTGTTCACATAATTACTTTGAGTTGGTATTTAAAACCAAATGAAAAGTAAAGGGTAAAGTCTATTATGTTCATCAATTCATTTGGTCACAATCTGTGTTCTTTATCACAATATCAATTATTTTGTTTGAGTAAGTAAAAACTCAGTTTATTCAAGTTTTAATTAGGTGTTAAATTACATCAGTGAATCCCATGAAAACAAATAAGTGTTATTAAAATTTATGGCTGTTAATATTTATTACAATAATAATAATAGTTACTACTAAAATATAAAGTGCCAAAGAATGAGTCTAGTCTGATCTATTTTAATTTTAAGAGGAATAAGAGTAATTGACAACCTTTTGATTGACAATTTATTTTAGTCAGACAAGGGAAATATATATCTATATGAGTGTTACTAATACATTTAGGGGAAGAAGTGCCAGCATGATAATGTTTGGTGTCGTATTTGTGATATTCATACACATGGCAATATTCTTTTTAAGCTCACATTTTTTATCGTATTCTTTTATTGGCATTTTAATGTGATTATGTAAGTGCTGCTAAGTATTATTTATTGGATGTAGTAATCTCCCCTTTCCATCTATACAGAACTGTAATAATACTTAAGTATAATAATAATAATAACTGTACACGTGATTGTAAATGGGGGTGTTCATAGTACCTATTTTATATTGTAAACTTATTTGTGCAACTAGTAGCCAAAGTGACATTTCAATTTAGATTAAAATGCTGTCACACATGGCAAGCCTTGTGTGTCAACTTTTTTATTGAGTTTAGGAAAGACATGTTGACCAACACATTTGATTTAGTCCGCAGTTGTCATTATGAGGTCCCTCTAACTGGCCACTTAAAAGTCTTACTTCAGTAATGAAAATAACAAATAGGCCCAGAGCTTATTTTAAGGGATTTCCACTGGGCGACAGTGGTGCCGGACTTAATACCCCCCCCCCCTCATCAAAAAGGTCCCACCCGAAAATTTTTCCATAAATTTAAGTGAAAATCACAACATTTCTACGTATCTTTTAATGAATTTTTCAATTTTATTTGCTTGTAAATAGTCCATAGGCCTATAATCTCACTTAATTATGTATTCTAGAATGTTGTAACAGGCCAAGGCTCCTTTCACAACCTCTTGGGCCAAAATCACAGCTCAATACTCTAAAATATTTACATAATGTTATTTTTTAAATTCTAATACATTTAAAATGTGAATCATTAAAAAAATATGCTGGCACCACCCATAGTCACTGGGCGACAAAATCTCAGCACTGGTTTCACCCAGTTAACATGTTATTTTATGCCCTGAATAGGCCTGTTTGATTTAATAGAATAGTATTCAAACCAATAATTGGAAATAGTGTGATTGTAAAACTACATTTATCTTAGTTTTAATCTTTTTGGTACATTAGAACTTTTATAACCTACCTAGGACCATTTCCTGTAACTTATAAATGTAACGAAATTCCATTTTGTAGCCCCTGAATTAGTTTAGTCTATAAATGTAACTTGGAATAAATAAGTAGCCTAAGTTTTGTTTTGTTCAGTTACCATTGAGCAAAGAGTGGGCCAAATAAAATATTAAGAACTTAGCTGTTTTGCAATTAAACTAATTCAAGTGAACAAAATGCTACTAGGCCTATCATATACAACTTTTGACAAAACTTAGAGAAAACATTTTTAATCTTTTATGTCACTAAGCTAGAAATACAACTGGAGGTAGCACTGGTACGGAAATATTGCTAGAAATTAGACATGCTGTAAAATTGTAATATTTTAGTACCAACAAGGGTAATCGGCCAAATCATTTGGCTCATGGCTTTAATACAATTCCATATTCTAGTTCCAATGCACTAAGTACAGCACTAAGTACAACAATGTACTTCACCCATTGTAACAATGGCAGCCAATGTCTCAATTCTCTCATTCAGTGCTACCTCCCTCCAGTTGTATTTGTGGCTCACTGCTTAAGTCTAAATAACAAAAAACGCCCCCTAAAAAGGTACCTAAAACAATGTGATGTGTATGTGCCTTAATTGAAGTATTGTGTAATGTTTCCAGAACCATCAATAACCACAAGACTTATTTTATACAACTTTATATCAAACTGAAAATTGAATGAAAACATTTATTTTTATTATAAATCCAAGTTTGTTTGGCTACTGTCAGATATCATGTAATGTCTTGTATTTTGTATTAAAACTTTGAAATTTCTGTTAGGGTTGTAAATGCTAGCTTGATATTCAATGAATTTGATTTGTCACAATAAAAATATTAACACACATTGTTTAATTGAAGACTGTAATATTTATGCTGTGCTGTACGTTTACAAATTTAAGTCTTCTGACATGTAAAACTAGAGTGCTAATTATGTGCCTTTCAATTATCCTAATGTTTATTATTCTGTTTGTTTAATAAACGTGTTATTCTTACTAATCATCCTCTTTTACCTAATTTCCCTAATACAGTTGTACTATAAACACTACATTAGGTTGCCTAAAACTTTAGCTGGGGGTTTCTGTTTAAAGTTTTATTTTAACATTACACATTTTTTTCTTTGCTTTTTCGGGATTGGGTTTGTTGTTTCAGTTTGCTTACCCTCTTTTACTTTGTCACACTCAATATTTTTGACGTAAAAATACAAAGTAAGCTTGCAGCAGCTAGGCAAAATGGTGTACACGAAGAAAACTGGTTGTATATAATACCACGGATTAAAGGTGTACACAGGTCACAGGTACATAGTTATTGTTAACATTTTGAACACAACTGATGAATGACTGTTGATTGACTACAGTAACAATTCAACTTTTAAAATTATAAAAATATTTTTCACCACACGATGATGTTTTCAGCTGTTTTACATACGTTATTTAGTGGCTGAAAGTTACGTTTTGCTGGCCATGCCAGCTTTCGTCGTCATTTGGGGACCGAGCAGGTTTTTACATCCCTAAGGCCGCAAAATCAGCTGCCCGCTTACTTTTAAATACACAATCAGAATCCATAGCATTGCAATAGAATTGTTTTATTGTCACCCCTGCCTAGCAACACAGAAAACATACTACTATAACCCAGAATGCCAACCGCATGGTAAAAAGCGTTAAGTACTTTGAGAGAGCTTTGCCTGTCAATTCGTAGGCAGCGCCACCAGCGTTGCTATGCACTCAGCGTGACTCAGTATAGCAACGCTAGTGGCGCTGCCTACGAATTGACAGGCAAAGCTCTCTCAAAGTACTTAACGCTTTTTACCATGCGGTTGGCATTCTGGGTAATAGATGAGTGAACGAAGTGAACGAATCTATGTGTCGTGTATAGCGGAGTCAGAGATTAATTGTCTGCTTGAGTGTGTGTGTGACTGTGTTCACACCTAAAAAATCAAGAACTGTTGCACTTATAGCGTTCAAATTTTGCACAGATAACTAGGACACCAGTGTAAAGACACCATTAAAATTCTAGACGATTCCGCTCAGTAGTAATTTTAAAACCCTAAAAATACATTTTTTAATTTGTCCCATAAGAATAACATTAGAAGCTACCTTCTTCTTTTTATTTGTTTACGTTTTGCGACCAACAATTTTGTTGTCTACTTAAGACAGAGAGGACGACTTTTACTCTAAACTCTTTCATTTGTGGAGTAAACAGTTTGGCGTCTATGAAGTATGAATATATGTCATTATAATTTCACAACTATAAGAATAATAAATTGAACTCTTATCAATATTAGTCGGCAGTTATATACAGTTTATATTCAGTATTAAAATTCACATTTACATTAGAAATATCTATATATATAAAATTCAATGTATGTTTGTTTGTTTGTTTGTCCTTTATGGACTCCAAAACCGCTCAACAGATTGTAATGAAACATTCAGACATTATTAAGCATTATCATAGATTAAACATACTCCTCAAGAGGAGTATTTTTAATCTATGGCATTATTCAAGGGTGGTTTGTGTGAAGTTGGGTGCAGTATGTCAAAAAGGGCTCCGCCCAGTGGATCTGGAGTTTCCCATGTTAACCTTATGACATAGACTAACCATCACAAGTAGACTTCTCATCCCATTGTAAATTTTGAAGCACGTTTTTCGTGTCTAGTTCATGTACGTGACACTTGGGCGCTAGTGTCGACGAAACTTTGTTTCTATTATTTTAGGGTTAATTTCTTGATTTGTGCTGTACTGTTTGGTTATATAACTAGGGGACAAGTTATTGTTTATGATTAGATCGTATTATTTGGTTAAAAGAGGTTTTAAATGGCTGCAATAACGGGAAACAAATTGTAAACAAAACACGACCTCTACATAAACCGTACAGAACTAACAATAAAATTGTCTTCAGCTGTTCCATAAGGATGAGAAATCTACTAAGGGAGTATGTTTTATCTATGCTTATGAGTACTCATATTTAAATGGAATTAAAGCATCTTAACAGCTGGTTCAACTAAACAATTATTTGATTCTGTGATGCTCAATAGCATTAAAAAGGTAATAGGTTTACCAATAGGGTGCAGCACTATTATTTTTTTAAATTTATGACAACAGCTAATTTTTGCAATTCTAAAATGCTATGGGAAGGGAGGGAAACAGGTCCACGACGAAGGAAATGGTGAAGGAAGTACCTAGTCAAGGCGAGCAGCCCGGAGTGTGAGAACCCTTTGTGATAGTTGGATTAATGTATCTGCAATTCTAAAAAGCTATGGGAACGGAGGGAAACAGGTCCACGACGAAGGAAGTGGTGAAGGAAGTAGTCAAGGCAAGCAGTCCGGAGTGTGGGAACCCTTTGTGACAGATGGAATAATGTATCTGCAATAATAAAATGCTATAAGAAGGGAGGGAAACAGGTCTTCGACGTAGGAAGTGATAAAGGAAGTAGTCAAGGCGAGAAGTCTGGAGTGTGGGAACCCTTTGTGACAGTTAGATTTATGTATCTGCGATACTAAAATGCTATGAAAGGGGAGGTAAACAAGGTCCACGACGTAGGAAGTGGTGTAGGAAGTAGTTTAAGACAAGCAGTCCGGAGTGTGGGAACCCTTTGTGACAGTTACATTAATGTATCTGCAATACTAAAATGCTATGGGAAGGGAGTGAAACAGGTCTACGACGTAGGAAGTGGTGAAGGAAGTAGTACAGGCGAGAAGTCCGTGAGTGTGGGAACCCTTTGTAACAGGTAGATTAATGTATCTGCAATACTAAAATGCTATGGGAATGGAGAGAAACAGGTCTACGACGTAGGAAGAGGTGATGGAAGTAGTCCAGCTGAGCAGTCCGGAGTGTGGGAACCCTTTGTGACAGTTAGATGAATGTATCTGCAATTTTAAAATGCCATAAGAAGGGAGGGAAACATGTCCAAGACGTAGGATGTGGTGAAGGAAGTAGTCAACGCGAGCAGTCCGGAGTGTGGGAACCCTTTGTGACAGTTAGATTAATATATCTGCAATTCTGAAATGCTATGAGAAGGGAGGGAAACAGGTCCACGACGTAGGAAGTGGTCAAGGAAGTAGTCCAGGCAAGCAGACTGGAGTGTGGGAACCCTTTGTGACAGTTAGATCAATGTATCTGCAATACTAAAATGCTATAAGAAGGGAGGGAAACAGGTCTACGACGAAGGAATTGATAAAGGATGTAGTCAAGGCAAGAGGTGTGGAGTGTGGGAACCCTTTGTGACAGTTAGATTAATTTATCTGTGATACTAAAATGCTATGGGAAGGGAGGGAAACAGGTCCACGACGAAGGAAGTGGTGAAGGAAGTAGTCAAGGCGAGCAGTGCGGAGTGTGGGAACCGTTGACGGCAGTTAGATTAGTGCATCTGCAACCAATGACTTTGGTTAATTAATGGACGAGAAGTTAGGATTGTTGTCGACTGAGATTTGGTTGATTTGCTCAAACAAATTACATTGTGTTCACCAGTGACACCGGTAAGTAGGCTAGGTGTGGGTGGACTCTTCCATTTTTGTGCCTACGTTCACTCATCCCTTTACGCGCAGAATAAGCGTACTACTAGTAGTAGTATGTTTTCTTTGCTAGCAACTATTTATTATTATTTTTGCTGATTATTTAAATTGTTTCTTCACATAACCTTAAAGTTGTGGTTGTGTTGACTATATCAGTGTGCATTATTATTGTGGTGAATAGTGGTAATAGAGTAGTGTGGTGAAAAATAGCGTTCGTACCACGGACCGAAATGGTTTTGCAGCTCTCAATCATTTTAAGTTCTCGACTTCTCTCAATCATTTTAAGTTCTCGACTTCGTCCTAAATTTAAAAACTATCTCGAGCGGGCAAAACCTCATCTTCGGCCCTAGGCACGAAATATATTATTTCAGTCAAGTGGATGCACATCAGATAACTGTAAAAATAAATACAGTAGACTAGACACCATCTTTTTTAGTAATTTCTTTAAGAAATATATTGGCATCAAAATAAAAAAAAAAATAGAAAATTGTTTTTGCTTTACAATAATAATTTAGGTACCGGTAGTTTATTCTGTTCTCCATTACCTTCTCAGGTCAAAAGACTCCTTGATTGAGTACCGTACACTGGTCGATTAAAGAGCCAGTTCCAAAGTTCCTCGTGCAGTGGGAGTGGTTTTAGAGCTTTGCAGCCAATATCTGGTGGTTTCTTGTGTGGTGTGAGTATAATCCGTATAAGCTATTACCATAAGTATCATGATGAGACCTACACCCAGAACCGATTTACTTTTTCGTTTACATGTCCCCAGACTAAAAACACAAACCATTCAATTTTGTATGTATGATATGTCTGTTAGCACAATAACTTGATGAGATTCGATAGGAACGAACGTGTAAACCTATGTTTATCTGAACGAGTTCGCCAGCATGATCCCTTGGTTATGCCCATTCCAATAGGAATGGGGTAAAAATTGGTTTTACCCTTTTTTTGATCCCCTTAAATATAGAATTTGAAATTTCTTTCTGGAGTATTTTGTAGAGCTTAATAAAACAAATAATTTAGTATTTTGATTAGCGTTTTATGCCAAATGGGTTACAGAGAAATTTTCAAAAATTTAAAATTCTTATGTTATTCTTCTGGAGAATAAATAAACTGTTGTATTTTGCTTGTTTAGGAATATATTTTGATCAAATTTTGCCAATTATGTTATTTCATACTAAGCTATTATTGTTTAAATAAAGAACACACTTAATTACATTCCCTGCAGAAAGTACTCATTAAAAATAATTTTTATTTAAATGGATAGTAAATCTGACAGTTTTAAGGGAATATTTCAGAGAAAAGCCAGCTAGGTAGTTGGAAATTCACTTGGTCTGCAGGTTTAGGCTACTCAGGCTCCAAGTACTTCTTTTTAAAAACTTTTCAACACCCCGTGTAAGATACATTTAGAATCTACCGAAAAAGATGTAGATGTAGATGAAAAAGATGTTGGTGTTAAGAGAGACAAGACTCTTAACACCAGCTGGATTCTGGTGTTGACTGTCAGTGACGGATAGGTCGACAAGACTCGATAGTAATTAAGATAACCGGATCTACAGTCGGTTGTGACGCTTCTGAGAATCATCTTCTAAATCGATGCGTTTTAGAATATATTGTAAGTACTGTAATTTAAAAAGTTGGTTTTGTTTCAGGTAAAGAACCAAATTAACTCAAGATGGCAGATGATGAATGGCAGTTGGAAGCTGTTGAAAAACAGTTCAAAGTGTTTGAATCACTCAAGGAACCATACAAAAGAATATCATTGACTAATTTAAGGACTTTAATGGAAGAAGTATCCTCGATTAAGAATTTACACACAAAAATGAATAAAACCAAACATTCAACCCCTAGTGAGATAAGTCTTCAGATCATAAATCAACAATGTGAAGAAGAAATCAAGCTCTCTTTTATTGTCATTGTCACTAACATGAAACAAAATGGAACCCTCTGCAAAATGCCGGTATTTGTCTTAATATCCAATGAGAGAACAAAATACATAGATATGAACCTTACATTATTCAACAGTTGGGACGCATTTTTCAACAACAATGATCTACCCCCTTGTCAGTATTGTTTTCCTGTTAATGGTCTGTACAATGTTGGGAAAAAGTTGAAGATTGATTTTGCCTCATCTCCTGTTGCCTTGAGGCAAAACGTAAATGTCTTTTGGAAATGCTTGGGTTTTGTGGCTGGTGTCGGATTGGTCGTGGCATCATTTTTCTTCACTATTCCTCCTGTGGATAGATACACTCAGAAGGCAGACTCACTTTTAAGTATAGCAAATGAGTATGTTCCTGGTATTCGAAAGTACGGAATCATGTTTTTGAAAGCAGTGACTCTGGTTCAGCAACTGAAATCAGGCAAAGATGATTTAATAGATATTTTGCCTCAACTTTTCAGATTTCTTACTACGGTAAATGACAACTTCAAAGAAGAAATATCTATGATTTACGGATGGATAAAAGATACTTTATGGAAGATATATAATTGGATCAAGACAAAGGTTTCTCATTTCTTTGAAAAAGCATCAGCATGGGCACAACATAAATTTCTTGCTGTTACACACCGAGTTAACAGTGAAGTGATAGCTGCTGAGTTGGAGGCATATGAGATTCTGGAAGAGTCACGAAAAAACAATCAAAAATTCCAAACCCCTGTTGATGCAACAGCTATACATGCAACAGTGAACACGGAAGTTGGCACGATATTTAGAAATGCTAAAACTGAAAGTGCTTTGCAAAACAATATGTTGAAAGGCAACAGTGATGAAAATATTCATCCAGTGACTTCTGATTTGTTGGAAATCAGTAACAAAGTAGCTAACCAGCTACAAAAAGAAGGTCTTAAAGATGTACAAGACATACTTGAGGCTTACCTGGGTTTTGTGAAAGATGAATTCTTAAAATGTATAAATTTGTATACAAAAATGCTTGATGCAGCTAAAGCCGGTGCTGGACATGCAATTAACGTGGAAACATTCAACCTTACACTGGGTATTAAAGGAGATGTTACAGCACACTACTGGGCAGAAGCATTTAAGATTATAAGTGATACTCCTCGTCTTGGTTTTCTCTTACAGGCAGAAATAAAAGAACTAGAAAAGCAAAAGAAATTACTTATATTCCCAATCGTTAAAATGACTGAAGATGATACGATGGGCCTATACAGATGTGTTGGACCTGATGGAAAAGGTAAATTTGCTGCCAAAGATCTCTTGTTGGCTTTGGAAGGGATTCAAATTCCTATAAAAAATGAAAAATTGGTTATAAATGAAACACCATCTGCAGTAGTGATTCGCCAAAACGAATTAACAATAGTAGCATCGCAAAAACTGAACTCAGACAATACATCAGAGGGGATGTTGATGATAACCAGCTTTGACTATTAATAGTCAATGTAACCAGGTAAAACCTCATCAGATTTGAGTGGAAACTTATATGGTTCAAAAAAGGTACAGGGAATATGGGTCAGACAGCAACTCTTGATAATTTATTACCATTGTATGCCTGAGATCTGATATATAACAATTAAGAGTCGGCAGGACCGACGGCCATCTTGGATTTTCTGCCCATAACGCCATTGTTATGGTTGAAGCATATTACGGCATTGTTTATTAAGATAAAAAGTTGCAAAATATCCCATTTTAAAGCCATTGAAACCACAAATGTGATTTGCCATCTACTTTTAGCGAATTTCCCTATAGGGAAGTAGCTATTACCGTAGGTGGCACGGTAAGACCTAGACCCGGGACCGATTTACTTTTTCATTTTGATGTCCCCAGAGGCCAAAAACACCATTTGTTCAAATTTTTATATATGTATATATATACATATAGACTTGTGTATATATATATATATACGTCCGTAAACGCGATAACTTGAGTAATTTTTGTCCGATTTTGATGAAATTTTGTTTAAAGGTGTAAAGCGGGATAAACTTGAATGAGTTCGCGAACCAGCACGATTGGACTATGGGAACGGGGCTTTACAGGGGGTTTTATGTGGTAAAAATTGGTTTTTCTCACTTTTGACCCTCAAAACACAAAATTTCCCGATTTCTCTTTAAACCTTTTTAAAGAGCTTAAAAAAACAAATAATTTAGTATATTAAATAATTTTTTTTCGATTATTAGTAACGGCGGAAATAAAAAAAAATCTATATGAATAAAATTAGAGTTTTGTCTGTACATTGCTTAGAATAATGAACTTTTTGGTTATTTTTACATTTCATAGGTCAGAGAAACCGAATCAAACCTTATCTCAATTTCTGTCTGTCTGTCTGTCTGTCTATCTGTCATTCTCTTGGTAACGCTAAAATACGCACTTTATTACAACTACTCCTCAATAACTATAGCACTGTCCCGCCTGAAACTTATTTTCCAAATACTATACATATATGAGATGGTTTTAGACGTATTTCATCGAATATGAGACAGTTAGATATTTAACAGTAAACCCTTGAAAATCAAGTTTTTGTCGATTTTTGACGTGGAATTTCTGGAAGCCCATGTTAACCTTATGAGAAATGAAATTATTGAATCTTAACAGCTGTTTCAATTAAACAAGTTGGTTCTGTTCTGTGATGTTCAATAGCATTAAAGTTACAAGGATTACCAACAGGGTGCAGCACTAGCACTATTATTTCTTTTACATTTATGACAACAGCTAATTTGCAACCTGGAGGCGAGTGAGCGTAGCGAACGAGCTAACCTGAAGGCAAGTGAGCGTAGCGAACGAGCTAACCTGAAGGAAAGTGAGCGCAGCGAACGAGCTCCAACATACAGGTGAGTGAGCGTAGCGAACGAACTTCAACCAGGACGTGATTGAGCCATGCAAACGAGATCAGATAGTAAAAATAAAAGTAAGCCTACCGTTATAGGATCGACCGGCAGACACAGAGGTAATTTAACCTTTTATTGATTGTCATACCGATCCGGAACAACAAAAAACAACATAAAATGAAGCTATGTATAATGAAGCTATGTATAATAGTTTGGCCAGCATATCTTAAAATATGCAAACCAACTGCTGTTCTTTATATAAGAAGGTTTCAACTGAATATTATAAGATCCCCGTGCGTAGAACGGGTACACAGCTAGTGTAAATTTAAAATTCCCATGTTATTCTTATGGAGAATATTGTCAAATGTAGTTTGCTTGTTTATGGATATATTTTGATCTAACTTGGCAAATTTATTTATTTTGTACTAAGCTATCAATATTTTACTCAAAACACACTTTATTAGTTTCCTTGTAGCAGCAAACCTAGGTACTCATTAAACCTAATGTTATTAAAATATATTTAACTGAAAATCAATTCAGACAAATGGAAATTCGCTTAGTCGGCAGGTTTGCTGCGGCAGGGGTATTTAATTTTAATTGTTCTTATTTTGTATATTGACTTAAACTTGTTTAAATGATCCGAAAAATAATACACACAGAAAATATATTTAAGAATCACATACAATTTTCTACTTGTTAATTAAGCTTATGGTGCATGATTAATATGCTTCAACGTGAACGTATGTTTTGCTGATCGGCGCTCGGACAACCATTGTTCGCCTGGCATCTGATGCCCTGACGGTCAACAGCAATGCAAAATTATTGACTCCAGCCGACTCTTAATGATACTATTGGCAAAGAATGATAATGACAATGTTGTGTTCATTTGATTTAGAATTCCATAATTTAAGGCCTGATTTGACAATCCAACTTGATTAGTTGAAATAAATGTTGTGTTCAATTCTGTAGAAAACCTAACAGAGAAAATCAATTTGGACAAAGTACATCATAAAATTTTTTCTGAAAATAGATATGTTTGATTACAACGATACTTTCTCACCTGCTTACATGTATTGGTTAGTGTTAAAATAATCCCAGTTACGGCAGTTACTTCAAATTATTTGAACATGCATTAAAAAAATTGTGAAAACTAAAAAATATTGTTTAATATTATATAATTTTCTTTGTCTAATTTATAGTAATGTATTAATGTTTATGAGCTTACAATGACATACTCTAGTTTTCCTATTTTTTCTTTTGTAAATGGTTTATTTAAGGTTTAATATGAATCTAACATGGTTTTAAATGTTCAGTTGTGGTATTATTTTATATTAATTCAAGACTTATTAATTTTTTGTATTTTAATAGGAAAGGGGCATTTTAATATTGTCAGATTATTAAAGGAATGGTGGATGAAAGAGATATCACCTCAGTTTTATTCCTGTACCTAATTTATTTTAGCTATCATATTTAGTGTTATAACATAATTTGCTATAAATGATGATTTACAATCATAATTAATCTTTTTAAAAGGCTCAGAAAGGCCTTTTTGTCGTAAAGATTATTAACACCTCATTGTTTTGAAACATTCCAGATTAAGTATTTGTCAAAAAACTTTGGTCAAAAAAAGAAAACAGATTTATATCTATATAATTAATACGCCAACATGAAATTTGCCCTTTGAACTTCGCCCTTTTTAAACGATTTTACCATTCACATCTCATTGAAAAGAACGTATCCCGTAGATTTGCAAACTGACCTTATATATTTTTTTTTTATTCCTGGGCTCTGCCCCAGTGGCTTTTAAAGTATGTAATCCTTACAAAGAACAATTTGTTTACATTATGATCAGCTGGATAATTTAATTGCTGTTAATATTTATTTTTGGAATTCAAGGAAAACCACTTATGTTTAAAATTTACTGATTTCGTTAAAATAAAATATTTATTTTTTGAATTTTTCGAATTTGGGTTTGCACAAGTACATACTATATTACATTGGAAAAAATCAAGAAAGCCTGGAGAACGTGATATAATTCACCAAATAAAAATGAATAGACACAGTACTTTATTTCTTGAGGAATCCTTGAAAGAACCAATTTGCAAACTATAGAATCATAGAAAAGACAGAATGCCACCAAGTAGAAGAAGTAGAGATGATGTTTTTTTTAAGGAATTTATTATCGTTATTAGCTATATAATGGAGAACGCCTACAAGATGAAGATTCAAAACAATAAATGAGGATGTTAGCCAGTGTTACCATTTTATTTTTAGTAGGAAACAAGGATTAACTTAGTAATAATTACAGAGGAAACCCTCCCTAAAGCTAAATAAAACTGGTACCCTACGACAAGGGTTCTCATTAAAGTCAAGTGGTTTTCGAACAATATGATCCAAGAAACCTTTACATCCAAGAAGCTTTTACTAAAACTTGCATAGAAGGATTTAATTACTATTAACAGTTAAGAGAAACAAAAAACTACCTGAACAACATCAGGCCTCTTAACTCAGCATTTTCTCAGATAAATATAATTGATGTTAATTACAGCAACTAACCAAAAGAATCCAAATTGAAGCAAGTAAAATTGTGACAGACAGGTTATGCAGGAAATCAGGTAGTTCTTAAGTTATGTGAACAAATTGTATCGCTAATTAAAAAAATTACTGAATTAGTTACATAATCTTTGAGTTGACACTTTTAAAAACTAATTGGAAATTATGACCTATTCGTTTTTAAATAACTCCTGAAATACTTTGCAATTGCTCGAATTTTGAGCAACGTGTACACTAGTAAATTGTCATTTGTCCAACAAGTGAGCAAAATGGCACCTTTCTAAACATGAGCTTAGCGTTAACTGAGACTTGCCAAGTAGGGCCTATGTCAATTTTATTAAATTGAAGAAAAGACACTTTGAAAACGAGTTGCACATTATATTTGTATATAACGCTACATAGTTTGATAAACAAAATATACCCTCCAACAAATAACATACACCTTCTCTTCAAGAGAACTTCACTCACTCACTCCCATGACCATTCATGCCCAAGGCGGGATTTGGCCGCACCAACAACTGCTCTCTATCTTCTGCCACTTCCATTGCTGCCCCCACTTCTCAGACGTCCTTGGAGACACTATCCCACCATCTCTTCTTGTGCCTTCCTAATAATCGTTTCCCTTCTGGCTTTCCTATGCTTGCTCAGGAGAACTTCTCAACATCCAAAATCATAAGATCCATAGTTAACATTTCAGATCACAAGATCCAAAGATCAGCACAAAGTAATTTCTGCAATTGGCCACACAATTCATTAATTTGACTCTACAAAATCTAATTTTGAATCTAACTGTTTTGCGATTGTTTACAAAAATTTTATTTTTTTACTTCCAAGCTAAATTACATTTTATTTTACACACTCGAGTTTCTTAAAATATACAAACTATGTTTTTAGCGAATTTCCCTATAGGGAAGTAGCTATTACCGTAGGTGGCACGGTTAAGACCTAGACCCGGGCCGATTTACTTTTTCATTTTTATGTCCCCAGAGGCCAAAAACACAATTCGTTCAAATTTTTATATATGTATTTAAATATATATATATAGATTTATATATATATATATATATATACGTCCGTGAATGCGATAACTTGAGTAAATTTTGTACGATTTAGATGAAATTTGGTTTAAAGGTGTAAGGCAGGATAAACTTTGATGAGTTCGCGAACCAGCATGATCAGACCATGGGAACGGGATTTTACGGGGGGTTTTATGAGGTAAAACATAGTTTTTCTCATTTTTGACCCTCAAAACACAAAATTTCCTAATTTCTCTCTAAAGCTTTTTAAAGAGCTTAAAAAAACAAATTAATTAAGTATATCAAAGTGTTTTTGTACGGTTATTGGTAATGGAGAAAGTTAAAAAAATTGTGAATTTAAAATTCCCATGTTATTCTTATGGAGAATATTGTAAAATGTTGTAGTTAGCTTATTTGGACGTATTTTGATCAATCTTGGCAAATTTATTTATTTTATACTAAGTTATTAATATTTTACCAAAAAATACACTTTATTAGTTTCCTTGTAGCAGCAAACCTAGGTACTCATTAAACTTAATGTATTTTAAATAGATTTAATTAAATATTAATTCAGACAAATGGAAATTCGCTTAGTCGGCAGGTTTGCTGCGACGGGGGTATTTATACTAAAACTGGTCACAATAATTATCATATTAATGTGGGAGTATAATATCCATATTCAAAGGTTATACAGACTCTTTAAATAAAAAAGATCTTTTTATTTAGCAGAGTCATAAAGTTTAAGGAGCGTATGGACGGGGACAGTAGAGGCAGCAAGTTGCTGGCTGCAAGTACTGCCCATTACGTCACTTGCCGTATGTTTTCCTACAGGTAAGTAGGCCTACTATCGGCAAGTGACAATGAAAGAACTTGCAGCCAGTCTGCTTTGAGTTCGGGAGTAAATAGTGTTGATAGTTGAATAATTTGTGTTGAGCATGTCTGACTGTCATAAAGAATTTAGTCAGCATAGTTAATACTGTATGACATATATTCCACAATAGTTCGTAATTTTGAAAAATCTCTAAAAACTTAGTGATGTCATCACAGCTCCACTTAATGATTTTTTCTTTTTCGCGGCAAGTAGTGGGTCACACTGGCGGCCAGAACTTTCCTGTCAAAACGTATACTTGCTATGCACTTGCCGCCAGTAGAGCAGAAAGGCAAGTGAAATCAGTGTTTATAGAAGCGAAAGTGTGTTTATTTAAAATGTCACAATTAGGGCCCTGCTGAGATGAAAAAATCATTAAGTGGAGCTGTGAAGACATCACTAGGTTTTTAGAGATTTTTCAAACACTAGGTTTTTAGAGATTTTTCAAAATCACAAACTATTGTGGAACAGACGTCATATTAAGTATGCTGACAAAAATCTTCATGAAAATCAGACATGCTCAACACAAATTATATTTAAGTTTCAACACCATTCACTCGAGAACTCAAAGCAGACTGGCTGCAAGTCCTTTATTGTCACTTACCGATAGTACTTACCTGGTGTATAGGAAAACATGTGGCAAGTGACGTAATGGACAGTACTTGCAGCCAGCAATTTATTTGCCTTCTCTATTGTCCCGGTCTATACCCTGCTTTAGGCCTAATGAAAGAAGTTGACACTTTTCTGGCTGGCTATAAATACAAGAGAAACTACTCAAAATTTTACTCTTAAAATTTTACATATTATTTTATTATAATTCATTGATACAGTAGTTACAGTTAATAATAAGGTGTTTGATGGTGTCCCTCTCCTCATTTTAACTTCCTCGATAAGTTGAATATCCAAAAGGGCTCAGGATCAGAGGAACGTGATAGTGCTCAAGAGGTGACCGAACATCAAAAACTATCTGTAAACAGATGTATATGGTAAGGAAGATCATAAATGCACAACAGTTAAAGTGAAAATAAACATGGAAGACGAGCTTGATAAATGATAATACATGGTATCATTATACTCTTAGTGAATTCCCCAATTCCCCTATGGGGAAGTAGCTAGAAATTTTGCTTGAAGGTGTAAGGCTGGATAAACTTGAATGAGTTTGCGAGCCAGCATAATTGGACTATGGGAACGGGGTGTTATGGGGGTAAAAATGGGGTTTTCTCATTTTTTACACTCAAAACATAAAATTTCCCAATTTCACCTTACGCCATTTCAAAGTAGGCTACTTAAAAAAAATTAATAATTTGGTATACGGGAATAATTTTGTGCGGTTATTGGTTACGGAGAAAACTGAATAAATTGTAAATTAAAAATTCCCATGTTATTCTTATGGAGAATGAGTAAACTGTTGTAGTTTAAAATTTAAATAATATAATTTAATTATCTAGGAGCCAAATCTGTTTTTATCTTTTTGTGATTATAAAGTACCAACACATACTGACCTCGACAAACGGGAAAAAATAATCTTGCTTCTGAAGTTCAAAATATCTGTCAACATCATAATGTAGCTTGAAACGTCCTGGCTTGAATTCCTCTTTTGAAATAAACTCGTTGCATCTTCCTAAAGGATTTGTAACACTGAAAAATAAATTGATTGGACATAATAATTATTGTTCAATACTTTCTATACTATAAATACTTTACTTTGAAATGACGACCATCCGAATGTAGGTATTTTAAGCCAAGTATGAATGGAAATGAGTGTAGGATGAGTGCGCGATCTTGTAGTCTATAGTGGAATCTAAACCAAATTTTTGCCTTGCAATTAACGAATATTGGTTTAATTGTCAGGATAATACTGCGGATAGTCGTAGTACTCACTAGTGTGGACGTTAATCAACACCAGGGAATATCACATCCTCAGTGTATGCCTATAAATATCCACAATTCATGACCTAGTAGCTGGATTACAGGACAACGCTACCGTCCCAGTCTACAATACGCTATTTCATTTTATTAATGTGATATTTTATGATTGGCGATTGGACATAATAATTGTTCAATAATATTTTTTGTTACAGAATATTATTTGATTTAGCGTTTTTTTATTTATTTGAAAAATTGTAATACCTTTTTCAAATGTACCGAAAATTAATTTGACCTAAACAATGTGAGCACAGTGCTGTACTGATAACTGTCCATCAGGCATGGATTAAATAACAATCCCTAGATGAGTGTTTAAATTCTTGGAAATGTATGACGTCTAAGTTATTGTGAAAGGTTTTAGCAATCTTTTACTGTGTCAGAGCTTTAATAGGACACTAGACTCTTAATCCAGAACCTTCAAATTACTTCAGACTAGGTCTAGAGAGGGTCGCGGCATAATCACATAGATAAAATATATTGGTGATTGGCAGGATTTGAGCCAGATAGTGACCAGCTCGCTTCCAATATTATAATGGTAAAAGAATAATGTAGTGTGAGAGCAACAGTGATTTATAATCCTCCAGTGAATGACCGTTCCCTATAAAAACATCATACTGAGTGTAAATTTGAAATCAAAACTTCACCAATATTATTATATAAGATCATACTGAGTATTTACAGGGTGTCCACCAGTCCAACCAGAAAAAATTCATGAGTAAAAAAAGATCCAGGTAGTTCAGGTCGTACTTTTCATACTAAAATTTCAAACGTGTTTTGTGCCAACTCCCGCAATGCTGTTTAGCGATAACACAGCTCGCTATTTTAGTTATTGGAAAGAGAATTCTCAGTTAAAGAAACAAAATTTACTCAGTAACAGAAACATCACCACTGTCTTCCGTGGTTGTGACAAAATCCTGATATTGTTCAGCGGTAACAGAAACATAATCGTCTCCCGTAATCACAGTAAAGTTATCATCATCTGTCTCAATCGTAGCTTAATTCAAATAATTTCCTGCGGTCATAAGTACCTAGCTAGCTATAACTACAGCTACAATTAAATGTAGCTATCGCTACAATTGTAGGTACTTTTCCATTTTATTCTATGCACAAGAGCTAAATAAGCATAATATAATTACAATTCAAAAATAAATTGTGGTGTCCCAGAGTTATTCTTATCTCCTCACACATATTTTAAAACATTATATCCAAATATCTTACCACCTTTTATGTTGTATTCTAAGAAGGTTAACTAAGAAGTATTCAGTAGCCTATTGACAGCAAAATAGAAATTTATGAGGATAGGAAAGTTGGAGAATTTTACCACGGATAAAACATGGTCCCTTAGGCCGGGGCCACACTCATCTTATCTCGCTGAATTTTTTCCACGGGCGTTACCCGTGGGTTTGAGAGATACATTACGGTATATGGGGCAGGCCACACTATAGTAAAAACGTCCGTGAATGCGACAAACGGAATTTGCACGTGTAATCTCTACTAACATTCCACGGGCGTTGCACGTAAAACTAGTCGCGGGGCATTGCGGCTTATGGGAGTGAACACACTCATCTTATCTCCCTGAATTTTTTCCACGGACGTTTCTAGTTTTAACCTGACTGATTTAGTACGTGGAGGGGGGGAGGCGGAACACGGACACGGACGATTTTTATTGCCAGTGTGGCATGCTCTATCAGTCTCACTGGTTTGCCCAAAAACCTATCTCGTAAGACGAGTGTGGCCCCGGTCAAACTGTTCCACGTGCATCGCACGTGAAAACGGAAAAAACAGTCTCGCTAGATAAAAATTACAAGTGTGGCCCTGGCCTTAGTAGATTTCCCATCATTATGGAACAGCTGAAGCCAATTTTATTGTTAGTTCTGTCCGGTTTTCTGTAGATGTCATGTTTTGTCTATAACTTGTTTCTTGTTATTTCAGTAATTTAAAACCTCGTTTAACCAATTAAAAATATCTTAATCATAAACAATAAACTCTATATACGCTATATATATACAACCAAACAGTGAGACCAAAATAATGAGAAACTAACCCTAAAATAATAGAAACAAATTGTAAACAAAACACGACATCTACAGAAAACCGGACAGAACTAACAATAAAATTGGCTTCAGCTGTTCCATAAGGATGGGAAATCTACTAAGGGAATATGTTTTATCTATGATTTTACTTTACATGAAAATATAGCCTTCTTGTTATTGTTAATTAACAAACACTCATACAACAAAATGTCACTATTGTAGCTTTTCTAAAATAACTAGAAAAATAAATTATTTTAAAATGGTTGTCTAACACATGAAAAAACCACAAAGTGATGAAATTGATAGTACTGTATTGAAATTCCTTACCATTCCCTGATCAAAGTCCATCCACTGTTAATAAGTTTGTATAAGCTGACACGGAGATTAGGTACTGGAGTTCCTCTTGAACTATCTAAAACATGTGTTGAGATAGGAGGCAGTGAAATGCTCTGCAAAAATTTAGTGACCTTTTAATTACTGAAGAATAATGGAACTAAATAATATTACACTAGCACTGTAGCAGTTTTTTTATAGAAACAATTTTGGGGTGCTTAGCTTAAGCACTAAATGATTTTATATTTTGAATCCTTGAAACTTCAGTCTTAGCTTAAAGCAATACCTACATAAAGCTTACGTACTATGTCTATTAGTTAGAAAGAGGATTCTGAATATTTTCAAAAATTACAGAGATACTACCAGTACCTACAGTTTTACTTTTGCTATTGTTGTACTTAATACAAGGGTAAATGGGAGAGACAAAATGAGAGGCATGATGAGAGGGTAGGATAACAAAATAGCAGATATGGAGTCATTGATTTATATAAATGAAACACCTGTTCCAGCAATAATTTTAAAATTATTAAAATACATAGGTTATTTTTATTTAAGACAGAACAACACACACATTTTGGATAACAGTAGAATAGCGTACGCTTACCATTTCATACCGTATTAGAAAATTAATGGAAAGACCTCCTAAAGACAGATATACAGGGTGAGTTTTAAATGAGTTCCCCCCTTACTTTTTTCTACATTTCTCAAGATATCAACTCCGCACCACAACAGATCATTGTAGAGTAGTAAGTACTGTACTTCATTTTGACTGGGTATACATTTTTGGCCGCCATATTGGATAGGTACATAGTTTTTTTTCCAAATGTAAAGGTAGGGTTGTAAACCATTATTTCAAACTAGAATTTTACGCTGATTACAATGCTGCAATTAGTTTTAAAAAATCTTGATCCGTTCTAAAGTTATGAGGACTTTTTATAACTTTATTTTTAACCCATTTTAACATTGTGCATTTACAAACTAAGACCATAATCTCAAAATAGTGCTAGATAAAGATAAGTATACACCACCATTCATTGTCGACATATTTTCACTTGGTTATGATGGATGTAGTTTTTTCAGCCGCCATTTTGGATCCGCCATTTTGAATTGTGATCAAATAATTTAAATATGAAGGTGGTGTTGTGACCCATCATTTTGAACTACTTTTTATACTGAACTCAATGCCGCAATCCGTTTTTGGTTACCAAGCTTTCTTGATGAAATACTCTTATTTAAAATTTCAATATTTCAAAAACCAAAGATGCAAATGAATAACGGATTGCGGCATTGAGTTCAGCATAAAAAAGTAGCTCAAAACGATGGGTCACAACACCACCTTCATATTTAAATTAATTTGTCACATTTCAAAATGGCGGATCCAAGATGGCGGCCGAAAAAATTACATCCGTCATAACCAAGTGAAAATAGGTCGACATAGGTTGAATGGTGGTGTATACTTATCTTTATCTAGTTACTATTATTTTGAGATTATGGTCTTAGTTTGTAAATGCACAATGTTAAAATGGGCTAAAAAATAGGTATAAAGAGTCCTCATAACTTTAGAACAGATCGAGATATTTAAAAACTAATTTTGGCATTGTAATCAGCGTAAAATTCTAGTTTGAAATAATGGATCACAAAACTTTGTATCCAATATGGCGGATCCAAGATGGCGGCCAAAAATGTATACCCCAGTCAAAATGAAGTACTTACTACTCTACAATGATCTGACGTGGTCCGGAGATGATATCTTAAGAAATGTAGAATAAAGTAGGGGGGGGAACTCATTTAAAACTCACCCTGTATATATATACACATAGAAATGCATTGATTTTCAAAAAGGGTATTTAATTTTTAATAATGCATTTCTATATCAAATCAGTAGCCCTAATCCACGGCCGCCTTTAACTCCAGGCCGTGGCCTTCGAAGTGGCAACGTCGCAAGTGGAGTTGTAACAGCTGTGTTGTTTGGAAGCAGCTAATGGTATTTGTGTATTTACGAAAGATTGGTTACTGGACTATGACAATATTGACTCCGCTTAAAATGTACGGATATAGATTTTTAATTCATATTGTTTCGGTTTCGGTTTTCAATTCTGTATGTTTTATTTTCAATATAAAAAAATTATATTCATAAATTTAAATCAATAAAGTGCGAATTAATGAGCTGATGTCACCTGTCTACCATGTTATCTTATGGGACGTCTGTCACTAAATAACACCACTTGCGACGTTGCCAATTCTACCAGGCCGCGGCCTGTTGTTAAAGGTGGCCGTGCCTAATCACAAAAATTTTCATAATATACATATATATATATATGTAGTAATATATACTCTGAGATACAAGCTATGGGATACTTTCAGAAATTAAGCTAAACCTCTCATCACAAAATAATATCACTAACATTTAACCAAATCAAATGAAGTAGGTACGTCTTTACACTAATAAAACATATTTTAACGATTTCTCCAACCTTAACTTAAGAAACTAACAACAAACCTTTGTAACTTTATCGACTGTTGATTCTAGCTGTGTAGAATTAGCCAAAGAGTCATTGCATAGGTTAGGAGCTTCTTCCATGCTAGAATTAATAACAGTTGTTTCTGTGTTAAAGCCTGGGTGCATTAATTCTATACCACTGTTACATTGTGCTTCTTCCATGGACTTGTTTTGCTCATTCTGTAACACATGAGATGATTATACCTTAATAAACCAGTACAGATATTTATTCACAAACAATTACATTTTTGCTGCCTTTAGCAGAGTTAAACCTCCTGTTATAGTCAATGGTTAAACCTATGGGGTAATTTAAATTGTTACCTATTAAAAATGACATCAACAAAAGCAAACAAAGACAAACAACAAACTTTTTTTACACAAAAGAAATGGTGTAGGCCCTATATGGATATTATACTCTGACACATAGATAATATATTTCTGAGTTTGTTTGGATATTAAAATAATTTGTTTTATATTATCGAGCTTTTAAGGGGGTCCCTAAAAGTCCACTTATGTCCCTATAAGTTACTATTTTTGCCAACTATGAAAGCCATGTTGACATTTTAAAATTAAATTTATATCCTGAAAAACTTAAGAATATTTTTGTTACATTACTTTTATTAAAATTTGTATAAGCCTGTTATTAAAATATTTACACTGCAACAAAGTTGTTCAGTGTTTTTGGGTCACCCTGTATTGAAGTCTAAGTGCTGCATCTATTTCAATAAGTTCATCTTCAGTTTCTTGTTTTTTGTATATATGCGTGTATAATAGATGGCATTTGGTTCAAACGTGTAAACCTACGTTTATTTTAAAGAGTTCACGAGCCAGCATGATCAGACTATGTGAATAGGTAGTCTATTGTAAAAAAATTACAAACCAATATTGTAGAAAAAATTACAAACCAATAAAATGTTTTGCAAGTTTTTTATTACCTGAGTAAACTGTATCTCTGCTTTTTTTGTGTGTTTCCTAGTGCTCATGTGGTGAAGTAAGCCAAGCCTATGAGCGTACAAAGTTTTGTTACATATTTTGCAAAAGGCTCTGGTTGGGTTTTCTGGGACCGCTCGCAGCCAACCTAACAAAATAAAAAACTACCTCAAGATACTAGATTGAAATGTACCTAAGTTAGGCCTATACTATAGGTTAACTTATACAATTTATTTTATTTCCATTCCAAAGACCATTACCGTAATTATGGTCGTAAATTAGTAGTACAACATTCTAATTTTGCCTTATAGAAAACTAAATTCTGCTTCTCTTCTAAATTGCATAAAATATATATTTAGGAGGTACAGTTCAGCAGAGAACCTACAACATATTAATAAATAATAGGCTATTGCGACATTTATCGTATCGGATAAAGTTTTCACTTTTCAATCATTTTTATCCATTGGGCCATTTCAAAAAGACTCTTTCACACTGTGCCGTGGCAGTTAGTTTGGTTCAGTTTGGCTTAGTTAATGATAATAACAAACTAGGTAACATTTATAAAAACTAATTTGATATGTTCTGTAGGCCTAATTGATAAAGAGATAAATTTGTCAATTTGTATTTGTTCTCTTTTTCATGACTTGAAAAAAGTAAATTTTGTAAATGGTAGGCCTACCTTGTTTGTCACCATCATAAATGAAACTGAACCATAGAGAAGTAAGGACACAGAGGAAACACTTTTATAGGACAACTGTGCGCTTTCACCTTTGGTATGTTGAGCTGGAAATATACTTGTGTGTGAAGAGCACGGAAGAGCCCGAGTGGTGAGCACTGTGAGGAAATTTCTATCACACAGGGCACCAGGTCCTCTTCTACTGTGAGTGTTGTAGTAAATGATGGCGAGGGGGGTGGTGTTGGACATTGCCCTAGACGAAATCACTTAAGTGTACCATGGAGTGCATCCTCTGTTCCTTACTTCTCTGTGGCTTAACTAAATTCACCTAACCTAAATGCCGCAGCGCACTGAAAGAGTGGTGGGCGGCCCATTTTTTGGAAAGACCTGTAGGCTAACAGAAAGTCAATATTTACATTCAATAAAATGCATATAGAATATAAAAATGTATATTGAATTAAAATTAAATCCGATGATATTTAATAGTTCTCTGCGGAACTGTAGGCCCTACCCTATTTTTAGTCTTTAAAGATTTGTGTATTTTAAATAATAGTTGAAGACAAGCTGCTATAGCCATGCTTTGAATTGGGAAGAGCACGTGGAAGAGAATACTTTTAATGGGTGAGGTTCATAATGTCCAAATTTCACAAACTCCAACGTCTAAAATGTTAAATAAACAGTGCGATTCATAATCTCCAAATTTCATAAACTCCAAAACTATAACTTTCAAATAAGCACCGTTTCACAATGTCCAAGTTTCACAAACTCTAACGGTTATTTCACAAAGTCCAACGTTAAATTAAATAAACAGAGCGGTTCATAATGTCCAAATTTCATAAACTCCAAAAATATAACTTTCAAATACTTACCGTTTCACAACCTCCAAATTTCACAAACTCCAGTGATTAGAATATTAAATAAACACAGCGATTCATAATCTCAAAATTTCATAAGCTCCAACGGTACAGTCTCTGCCAGAAGTCGCTGCAGAGGTTGCCGTGGTTTGGTATGTAGGCGCTACACGTTCTAGTGTTGTAGCGGCGCGTCACGAAACATCATTGTTGGTCTATAGTTGCTTTGTTAAGAGTGTAAAGTATTGGTATTAATACCCCTTCTGCAGCAAACCTGCTGACTAATCGAATTTCCATTTTCCTTATTTGATTTACACTATCAATGAAGTTACGTATCAATGAAGTTATTAGTTTATATATTGCAACATGGATAATCGTTAATAATCGTACTTCCTAACTAATATTATAAATGTGAAAGTTTGTGTGTTTTTTGTCTGTTTGAAGTCCAATAATGCATTAACTACAGGTCGGATAGGTCTTAAATTTGGCATGGTGATAGCATATATTCCCGATTAACATATAGACATATTCTTATCACAAAAATGCTTTCAGACTCCTGGCCGTGAGGTTTCCCATGTTAACATTATGGGCATTCATATTTTAAAAGTAACTAAATAATTTTGTCAGCTTGTTGAAATAATGAATAAACCTTTTACAAATTCTAAGGCTTTATTTGAGTAAAAACCAACATTACAGAACAACACAAATAAACAAGTTAAATTTGCATAGTAACCAGGACAGCTGATCAAAGTTGTAATATCAAGGATATTAGAAATCATCACACAGCTAGTACAGATTAACAAGTTAGTTAAATTATATTTTACCAAGTTTATTTATTGTGGCGTTGATTTAACTAGTAGCTTGTAGGGACATAAGTCCCTAAAAGCTAAAATGTTAAACAAATTATTGTAATATATAAACAAACTCGTAATCAAATTATGTATGTGTCAAGATAGATAGGTAGGCCTATAGTTAAAACTAAAAGAGAAAACGAGACTGCTGTCGAGTAAAAAGGTGTAAATAGTCGAGTTTCAGCTTATATTGATACCAGTGTAAGTATTGACCAGTATACTTACAATATGATGTATAAGTTAAATCCTATTTATAAAAATGTATTTCTGCGTTTATGTATGTTTGTTTCTACCTTTTTATGAACTTTTAACTCCTCCTTTTAGTGGGTAGAATGAATAAAGTACAAGGTTTTCGGCACTTTTCTAACAACGGGCTATTTCTACACACAAAAAACTACTGATGTAATCATCATGAAATTTTAACAGCTATTAGAAAATATAGGTACTTATAAAATATATTTATATGTTTTAAAATTTTTCATTGGTAAAAAACTTCTTACAGTATTTGTAATGGATTTTTAATTGAGAGACAGAACAGTTAAGAAACTCAGCTGTAAGCTTGAATTAAAGATATTAAAAATATAAAAATGTAACTTTAATTTGTAGGCTACATTATGTGTTAACACATATTTGAGTCACACAGCTATAAGTGTTCTTCAATCATTAAAATATACGTATAATCAGTAGTTGAGCCCCGGTTTACTGGGCCTGCTATCTGACCGTGCCAGCCATTGTAGAGACTTCTGGCCCAGACTGTACTGTTGGAGCTTATGAAATTTGGAGATTATGAACCGCTCTGTTTATTTAGTATTTAAACGTTGGAGTTTGTGAAATTTTGACATTGTGAAACGGTGATTATTTGAATGATGATAGATTTGGAGCTTATGACATTTGGAGATTATGAAATGCTCTGTTTAATTAATATATTAACGTTGGACTTTGTGAAATCATTGTTGGAGTTTGTGAAATTTGGACATTGTGAAACAGTGATTATTTGAATGTTATAGTTTTGGAGCTTATGAAATTTGGACATTATGAAACGCTCTGTTCATTTAATATTTTAAGCATTGGAGTTTGTGAAATTTGGAGTTTATGAAACGCTCCCCTTTTAATGCTGTTATTTAGATCTTCTTTGTTCAAAAAAAAAAGATACACATACGGTATGTTATACATTTTACAAACAAAAATTAATTTTACCACGAGACCTGAAGAAATGTAAGATAGAGATGGAACTCACTGAGCCAAGGAATAAGCCGGTTTCAATTGATATTTGACCTAGGAAAACTCATACCTACCACCTACCACAAACACTTGAACTGGCTACAGTTGTAGCATATGTAACAATGAGAACAAATAAACTGCACCCCTTCACTCATCAACACTTTGCGGCACAATAATAGGTTTTAGTGACCTCTAATTCGTAGGGTACTGAGCCACCTAGCTACCACACTGAGCAATAAGCAAAAAAAAAGGCATGGGCTATTGCCTAGTTAGAGCCCGCACAAAGTGACCCCCGCAGGGTTAAGTGACTGTCCCATGCAAAACTACTTTGATGAGTCAATGTTTAACCACTTGTGGAAGTTAAGGATGTATAACCTATGATGAAGTAAGGTGGCTATCAATGACATAGAGTTGGAGGGTAGGGCGCTAAAATTTGCCGATGATATGACACTTGTAACAATTGGAAGAAGTCCAAACGAAGCGATAGAAGAATCTGAGCATTTGTTTGCAGCTGCTAGAGAATGGTTTAACCATAACATGACTAAGCTTAGTGACGATAAGACAAAGAAACTGATATGCCCTCTAACGCCATCACTTGAACAAGTGTCGAGAAATGTATCACTGCTGGGCTTTACTCTTAATCCAAAATGAACCTGGGTAGACCATATTGACAACATTTGTAAGAGGTTAGCGAGGTTAAACTTGTCCCCGAATCCTATTTGATAGTGGTATACCATTCGTTGTTCCACAGCCATAGGATCTCATATGGTCGCTATGAGGCCATGCACTTGACAGCCTCAAGGTCCTACAACAGCAGAAGAAGGCTTTGCATATTATCACAGGGAGTGGTAGAAGGGATCACGGTATGCCGCTTTTAGTACGGACGGGCATTTTGACAGATTACAGTACCGTACCTAATTACATCTTTTCATTTGTAAACTGTCCATGATAACCAGCAGAAATTCACTACAAGGAATGATGTGCACAGTTATAATACAAGGTGCCAAAATAAGATCAAAATTCCCTTCCGCAGGATTAGTAAAACGGATGGATTGGGCTGAAATTTGGCATGAAGATAGCTAACATTCCCGATTAACATAAAGACCTATTCTTATCTCAAAAATCCTTTCGGTCTCAGCCCCAGTGAGGACAGCTAGTTATTTATTTATTTGTTTACGTTTACACCATTTTTCAGAGTTGACTTGCTGATAATACAAAATAATACAATATTGAAAAATTGAAAGTTAATTAGCCTAACAAAAAGTAATAACGAATGCGAGTGAAATGTTGAATGATATGAAAGGAGCATAACTACCTCCTTATGACCGTTGGAAGCAAAATAAAAGGGTACAGTTTCTTAACTGAGCTATGCTAATATTGATTGAAACTATCGAATTGAAAATATTGATTAATAATCGACATTTTTAAATATATCTATTATAAAATAAAACTATCATAACCTAACCTAACCAACCAAACTTGCTGATGGTGAAAAAATCGCATGAAGGTTTACAAATCGAATCGATAGTTTCAATCAATATTAGCATAGCCCAGTTAAGAAACTGTACCCAAATAAAATAAAAAAAAAATTATCTGAAATTACTTGATTGTAGGCCTATTTACATCACAACTTTGCCTAGGCCTACCTTTGAAGTCTGGCAGCGATTCCCAAGCAGTCCGATATGATTGTTTAGATTTGGAATCGTTTTTAGGCATTATTTGATAGTCTATCAATAATAATTAGAGTAGTTTAGATTAAACTACGTAACTTAAACAAACAGGTCTAATTAGTTCATTTAAATTTCATTTAGTTCTTAGGTTATAAGTCAAAGTTGTCTGCCACTGCCGGCTACCCTAAAAAAATCACCTGATTTAAGACAGTATTTTTCTTGTTTTTACCGCAGGTTTAACTATTTGTCATGTAACTTAGCTTCCTAAGAGAGATATATAAGCGTTTAGTCATATAAGTTAAGGCTTTGATTTAAATAATAGATAAAACCATAAAACACCCTGAGTTAATTTCTCATCCTTATGGAACACCTGAAGCCAAATTCATTGTTACCAACATTGAAAAGTCATGTTGTTATGTCCACTGAGCTATAATGTCCGATAAGGTATTTAATAAATTGAGTAGGACCATAGATTAAACATACTCCCTAAGGGGAGTATGTTTAATCTATGGTAGGACTGTTCAATTTTATCCAGGAAGACATTCCTTATTTTTAAGTAAATTTTATGACTGGCTCTTAAGAAACCCTTTTTTTTATTGACGACATCATGGCCGTAAAGGAAGTTCAATTTTAGACTCATTATCAAAGCCTAGTTTAGTTTATATTGTTGTTTATCTTTTAATTGTCTATTAGCGGTGGTATACTGTTTCTATCTCTTGTTAGCAGGGCCTTGTCTACTGTTGTTTATATTTTAATTGTCCCTCATTTGTTGTAACATCTGTTGCAATTGTTAATTTTTAGAAATTTTTATCTTAATATATGTATTTTGTTGTTGGTTTATATAATTTACTAGTGTACCTGTTGCTCGAATTCGAGCAATTGCGATGCATTACAGGCGGTTTAAAGATTATGCAAATACTCACGATCTACACAACAGTTAGATATAATAAAAATCTTTTGTAAATATTTTATCTTTTTTCAAAAACCTAATCTTGTTTTTTTAGTGTAAAAAAACATTATTTCTATTTCTTCTACTTGGTTCTGTTCTATGACTTTTTCTATGTTTCCATTGTTTGCAAATCGGTATTTCAATGATTGCTCAAGAAATGTAGCACAGTGTTAATTCAGTTTTATTTTTAGCCTATATCAAATTGTCCAGGATATCTCGCTCTTTTCCATTGTAATAATTACATTAACCCAAGTTTTGTGATGCAATATGCCAAAGAATATCACCTACGTACAATCTCCAAGAAGTGGTAAAAAAGGCAGAAACCAACCCATACAATAGATAGTTAACTCCATAAGAAATAATTTTAAAAGTTACTGTGATATTAGGATTTTCCACTGATTTGGTAATAGAACATTATATTGCAAAACATGACACGATGCAGAAGAAAATCAATTTTAAAATAAAAAAATCCATTGCAAATACTGAACTTCATTTTGACAAATTCAATAAATCTCAATTTAAATATTAACAGCTGTTGCATTAAAAAGTAGTGTAGAATTTTGCATATGGTCGTAATGTAAACAAATCTGAAGAGGCAACTTTAAAGGCTTCTGGGGCAGAGCCCCAAGGGAATTAACCTCTTTCCTCTTTTGATGGCTCATCTACAGACCAAGACCTTTCTTTAGAGACCCCGACCAAGGTTCTACGCCCAGCCGTTCTCTCAAATTAGCTGTGACAAAACCCCCGTTTTCCTCTATAAGAATAAAATGGGATGAGAATTTAAAGGCCATGGAGGCAGAGCCCCAAGGGAATTTACCATGTTTCTCTTTTGGTGGCTCATCTACAGACCAAGACCTTTCTTTAGACACCTACCGAGTTTCTACGCCCAGCCGTTCTCTCAAAATAGCTGTGACAAAGAAAAACAGTTTTAAATTAATATATAGATTCTTTGTGAAATTATCATATTTATTTATAAAATGTATTTATTGTTAAATCACATTCCATACTGTTGGTAATCCACGGAGCTGACACCTTAAAAATTAACATATTGGACATGTTATTTGTAATGTCTAGCCTGACTGTATTATTTTATTATTTTACATACCAACGGACAACTACATTTTTACATTCATACAACAAAACAAGATGGAAACAATAATAATTCATAACAATAATGTAGCATTCGCCCTGGCCTTTCGATCTGGCCTCTCTGTAGCCCATCGATCTCTATTATTACTACAGCTGTAGCCATGCTATATACATCACAATTGTCAATGCATTTTTTGTAATGTCCAATGACAAATAAATATTTCTGATTCTGATTTCTGTTAGTTATCCCCGGTGCTCTGTAGAGGTCATGTTTTAGTTTTGTTTAATTTGTTTCTTGTTATTTCAGTCATTTTTAAAACCTCGTTTTACCGAATAAAACGATCTAATCATAAACAATAACCCGTCCTCTAGTTATTCAAACGAACCGTAAAGTAAAGTGCAAATCATGAAATTGACCCTAAAATAAAAAAAATTCAGGCCGCGGCATTCAAAGTGGCAACGTCGCAGGTGTAACAGCTGTTTTGTTTGGAAGCAGATAATTTTCCTTCCATCATGAGCTAATATGGTACGGTACTTTTGTTTTTTACGAAAGATTGGTTACTGGACCATGACAATATTGTTCCGCTTAAAATGTACAGACATGGATTTTTTATTCATATTGGTTCGGTTTTCAATTATGTATGTTTTATTTACAATATAAATTTATGTTCATACATTTAAATCAATAAAAAGTGAATTAATGAGATGATGTCACCTGTCTGCCATGTTATGGGACGTCTAGTGCTAGACAACACCACTTGCAACGTTGTCAATTCTACCAGGCCGCGGCTTGTAGTTAAAGGTGGCCGTGGTCCGTGGGTCTATAGGTGAGTACGGACATTGGACCAATGCTGGTACAATGGTAATAGACTGGTGGTAGTGGTAGTGGTAGGTAGATGGTGGTAGGTTGGTAGCCCTGGTAGCTGTCTGCCGAGTGTGTGGCGATGGCGATGGTGATTGTGCCGTGTGCGACCGTCGAATTAAAACTTGTAGGCTAGGTTAAGTTTTCTTGTTTGTTTTCACTGTTTTTTTTTCAATCAAAGTTAGTGAAGGCCCTAAGCCCCCTAGCTCCTATTCCGAATATTCATTCTGAATCTGAAGAATGAGGATAGGACTAATAGAAAATCAAATCTAATAAATGTATTTTAGATCTAGGGGTTGTTTTGGATTAAAAAAGTCGAGGAAATTGATTTCGAATAGATTTATTCCCAATTTTTAGTCCATTTTGGCATTTCATCACATCTTTTCCTTAAGGCCTTTTGATATTCGAATACCGAAGAGTTTCCAACACACCAAGTAGAAGAACACCTACTGTAACAAGTAGGAGACATAACAAGTAGAGTGACAAGTAGAAAATAGGCCTAAGTTAAGTTACTCTTGGAGGCCCGTCAAAATGTTGAGTCTGATAAGCAAACATACAGTAAAAGTGCTGTCAGCATCAAAGTTGAAGATTAATTATAATCGTATTTTGTCCAATGAGAGAGATTTTGACATTTGTTTCAAAACTATAATGGACTCAAGTAGCAGCAGAGATACAACCCAAATTTCACAAGGAACTGGTAAGTTAAACATGCACAACTCATCACTTGTGTGAACCTGGCAATAACTCCAGCCATAAGTAGTGCGCGCGCCCGAAAAATCTATTGCTGGCCGATTTGCGGCGAAATACGGCCGCGTAACATAATACCGATGATGTCACCAGATAGAGGACAATTTAACGGACACGACAGTATCAATATCATGTACCTGGCGGATAAGAAAGAGGGGGTAAAGTCAGCAATAAGTAGTGGGCTTGCCCGAAAAAATCTATTGCCGGCCGTTTTGCGGCAAAATACGACAGCGTAACATGAAACCGATAATGTCACCAGATAGAGGACACTTTAACGGACACGACAGTATCAATATCATGTACCTGGCGGATAAGAAAGAGGGGGTAAAGTCAGCAATAAGTAGTGGGCTTGCCCGAAAAAATCTATTGCCGGCCGTTTTGCGGCAAAATACGACCGCGTAACATGAAACCGATAATGTCACCAGATAGAGGACACTTTAACGGACACGACAGTATCAATATCATGTACCTGGCGGATAAGAAAGAGGGGGTAAAATCAGCAATAAGTAGTGCGCGCGCCCTCAAAAATCTATTAATGACCGATTTGCGGCAAAATACGGCCGCGTAACATAATACCGATGATGTCACCAGATAGAGGACACTTTAACGGACACGACAGTATCAATATCATGTACCTGGCGGATAAGAAAGAGGGGGTAAAGTCAGCAATAAGTAGAGCGCGCGCCCTCAAAAATCTATTGCTGGCCGATTTGCGGCAAAATACGGCCGCGTAACATAATACCGATGATGTCACCAGATAGAGGACACTTTAACGGACACGACAGTATCAATATCATGTACCTGGCGGATAAGGAAGGGGGGGTAAAGTCAGCAATTAGTAGAGCGTGCGCCCGAAAAATCTATTGCTGGCCGATTTGCGGCAAAATACGGCCGCGTAACATAATACCGATGATGTCACCAGATAGAGGACACTTTAACGGACACGACAGTATCAATATCATGTACCTGGCGGATAAGAAAGAGGGGGTAAAATCAGCAATAAGTAGTGCGCGCGCCTTCAAAAATCTATTAATGACCGATTTGCGGCAAAATACGGCCGCGTAACATAATACCGATGATATCACCAGATAGAGGACACTTTGACGGACACGACAGTATCAATATCATGTACCTGGCGGATAAGAAAGAGGGGGTAAAGTCAGCAATAAGTAATAAGTAAGTAAGTAAGTAAGTAAGCAATAAGTATTACCTATGTAAAACTATGTTACATAACCTCAAAAATACCGAGAACATTTTATAAAAGTTTTTTTTGGTCTTATATGTTGAAATGCAGTGTATAATTAAATATTTCGGACCATTTTTTTATGCGCCCGGTTCCCCCATTATTGTTTTTGAAACACCATGGTTTATTTGACAAAAATAAATTAAAGCAAAACAAAGAAATAGCCATCTTAGCTTCAAGGTCAAGCTATCCGCTTGCACTGACAATCATCTCATTTGCTCTTTAGTCTTTACACAACTGATGTCTGCTGTGCACTTACTTGCTATCTCACAACAGTTTGTGATTGGGTGATTAGTAACCATGGCAACTTGTTGAATTTGTGGATGAAGAGAAACCAAAGAAAGAATAGAAGAACAAAGAAGAAAGAATAAGCGGAGTTTTACGTCATCCATTTTGTTATCTTTATCCTATTTTACGACTGTCGTTATTATCTTTAAGACTAAGTACTATGATTTTATGCTGTTTTATGAGTTGTCTAATGTTTTTATCGACATTCTTATGTTCTGAAACAACATGTAGTAGTAGCCTATTCTGACTACGGTAGCAGTAGCTTGCAGTACTAGACTTTCTATTGTTTTGTTCTTTACGTGATTTATTGCTGTACGTACAGTGTTGTGTAATTTTTGTTTTGCTTGAGTAGGCGTGATTTTAAACGTTACAGTTTTTATTACTGAACCAAGGTTATTGACTTAACATATCACGAATGCGCAATACTATTATTTGTATTTTGATTATGTAAAATGCACTACATCCGGTTAGTCTGGCCGTTTTGTAGTTCGGCCAGTGGTCCGGTCCTAAGGTGGCCGAACTAGAGGGAGTCTACTGTAATGCCATTTACACTAATACAATCAGTTAAGATTATATAAGCTCCAAGACTGACTTAAACTATACAACAAACAACATTTCATCAGCAATTGCATCAATACAATCAATCAACAATAACAGCTATAAAACTATGACATACAATAACAATAACAATGCAGAATGACCATGAATAACCATAACAATGCATAAAGAATATTAATAACAATCACAATTATAATAATATGTATATCTGAACCATTTAGCGTAGTATGTCTGAGTTTTAACTGTAATCTGATGATAGTAGTGTAGTTCCTCAAGTCTAAGGTGTAAACTGTATTTGGATGTATAAGTGTAATAATTGGGAGTGAATTAATTAATCGTGTAGAATTTTGTGTTGAAGGGAGGCTAGACTGTCGCTGTAGAGGTCAACTAGAGTTGAGAATTCGTTTTTTATGTTAATAAATTGATCATTCAAAGCCGTGACAACTGACAACTTACGACTAGACTGGTTGACGATCCTTTTGTATCACCAACTTTTACCATAAAGTATTAGGCCTATAATCCTATTATGCGCAGCCACTCAAGTCGCGCAGATTTTTTCGGGCGCGCGCACTACTTATTGCTGACTTTATCCCCCCTTTCTTATCCGCCAGGTACACGATATTGATACTGTCGTGTCCTTTAAAGTGTCCTCTATCTGGTGACATCATCGGTATTATGTTACGCGGCCGTATTTTGCCGCAAATCGGTCATTAATAGATTTTTGAGGGCGCGCGCACTACTTATTGCTGACTTTACCCCCTCTTTCTTATCCGCCAGGTACATGATATTGATACTGTCGTGTCCGTCAAAGTGTCCTCTATCTGGTGATATCATCGGTATTATGTTACGCGGCCGTATTTTGCCGCAAATCGGTCATTAATAGATTTTTGAGGGCGCGCGCACTACTTATTGCTGATTTTACCCCCTCTTTCTTATCCGCCAGGTACATGATATTGATACTGTCGTGTCCGTTAAAGTGTCCTCTATCTGGTGACATTATCGGTTTCATGTTACGCGGTCGTATTTTGCCGCAAAACGGCCGGCAATAGATTTTTTCGGGCAAGCCCACTACTTATTGCTGACTTTACCCCCTCTTTCTTATCCGCCAGGAACATAATATTGATACTGACGTGTCCTTTAAAATGTCCTCTATCTGGTGACATCATCGGTATTATGTTACGCGGCCGTATTTTGCCGCAAATCGGCCAGCAATACATTTTTCGGGCGCGCGCTCTACTTATTGCTGACTTTACCCCCTCTTTCTTATCCGCCAGGAACATAATATTGATACTGACGTGTCCTTTAAAATGTCCTCTATCTGGTGACATCATCGGTATTATGTTACGCGGCCGTATTTTGCCGCAAATCGGCCAGCAATACATTTTTCGGGCGCGCGCTCTACTTATTGCTGACTTTACCCCCTCTTTCTTATCCGCCAGGAACATAATATTGATACTGACGTGTCCTTTAAAATGTCCTCTATCTGGTGACATCATCGGTATTATGTTACGCGGCCGTATTTTGCCGCAAATCGGCCAGCAATACATTTTTCGGGCGCGCGCTCTACTTATTGCTGACTTTACCCCCTCTTTCTTATCCGCCAGGTACATGATATTGATACTGTCGTGTCCGTTTAAAGTGTCCTCTATCTGGTGACATCATCGGTATTATGTTACGCGGCCGTATTTTGCCGCAAATCGGCCAGCAATAGATTTTTCGGGCGCACGCTCTACTTATTGCTGACTTAACCCCTCTTTCTTATCCGCCAGGTACATGATATTGATACTGTCGTGTCCGTTAAAGTGTCCTCTATCTGGTGACATCATCGGTATTATGTTACGCGGCCGTATTTTGCCGCAAATCGGCCAGCAATAGATTTTTCGGGCGCACGCTCTACTTATTGCTGACTTTACCCCCCCTTCCTTATCCGCCAGGTACATGATATTGATACTGGCGTGTCCGTTAAAGTGTCCTCTATCTGGTGATATCATCGGTATTATGTTACGCGGCCGTATTTTGCCGCAAATCGGTCATTAATAGATTTTTGAGGGCGCGCGCACTACTTATTGCTGATTTTACCCCCTCTTTCTTATCCGCCAGGTACATGATATTGATACTGTCGTGTCTGTTAAAGTGTCCTCTATCTGGTGACATTATCGGTTTCATGTTACGCGGTCGTATTTTGCCGCAAAACGGCCGGCAATAGATTTTTTCGGGCAAGCCCACTACTTATTGCTGACTTTACCCCCTCTTTCTTATCCGCCAGGTACATGATATTGATACTGTCGTGTCCGTTAAATTGTCCTCTATCTGGTGACATCATCGGTATTATGTTACGCGGCCGTATTTCGCCGCAAATCGGCCAGCAATAGATTTTTCGGGCGCGCGCACTACTTATGGCTGGAGTTATTGCCAGGTTCACACCAATCAACTCATCCCATGTGTCTTACCACAGAAAACATACTAATACTACTATAACCCAGAATGCTAACCGCATGTTAAAAAGCGTTAAGTACTCGGAGAGAGCTTTGCCCGTCAATTCGTAGGCAGCGCCACCAGCATCCGAGTACTTCACGCTTTTTAACATGCGGTTAGCATTCTGGGTTATAGTAGTATGTCTTCTGTGCTTATACTTAAGTAGGCTAGGCCATACCCTAAGTATTTTTACACTTAAAATCCTAGGGAAACACTTTGATAGGCCTATATGACACTACTGGTTGAATCGTTTGTCATAAGTTAGTCGAATTGTCCGCATCAACCAATTGAACTAATATTTTCGGTTGGATTGTAATCAAGTAGATTTTATCTTATTTTAATAGTACCATAAGTAAGTTAAGTTAATTGGTATGGTTTCTGTTTGATAGCTAGGTAATTAATTGTATTAAAGTTGTATGTTTTGTTACCAGTATTGTTTTATTAAGGTCAGGTTTTTTTACCAGGAAAATTTGCTATTTGTGTCTACTGTGTCCAAAAACCACCTTTCTTTTATGACTAAACTAGCAGAGTACCCGTCCTTCGTACGGGGTTGGCATATAAGTTTAAAATGCTTATTGCAGTTATACTCAAGCTTTGCATTTGCAATGGGGGAGGACAAAGTTTGATACAATTTGCTTCTTTAAATTGATGGTATACTATGGTATTACACATCTACAGTAGACATAATGTTCTACCACTTAACCTAAACAATAATTAAAAATGAATTTATATTAAAGATATGCAAAAAAATCACAAATTATTCATGACATTAAAAACATGAACATAACTGTAAACAATCTTACTTTGACATAAATGCAAAAATAATTATAGTGCTGCACCCTGTTGGTAAATCTTATAACTTTTTAATGCTTTTGTATATCATGGGGGGCTTCACCCCATAAAGCCCCCCCCTGGGAACAGCCACTGATAGTAGATATATTATGTCTTCTATGTGTTTCAAAATCAAACATTTAAGACACTATGCTAATATGCCCACGCTACCAACCTTAATTTTGGAACGACTTTTTTTATATTTAAACACTCCATTCTGGTACAAGCGCTAGATATACCTACGACTTCTAATAGCTCATTGTCTAGTATCATTTTTTTCAAAATCAAAACTGGAAAGGCTTTTCAGTTTCACACATAGGCAATAAGTTAATAACTATATTGTTAAAATAATTTATGGGTTCTTTTGAATAGAAAAAAATATATGTATATTGACTAGATTAAAATCAAAGTACACATTTAAATCTCAAATATCCAAACTACCCACTTTTACCCACACAATTTTTACCCAATGCACCTAAAATTACCCACAAAGTAGTGGGTAATTCCACGGATTACTGATATTATAAATCTGAAAGTTTGTGAGTTTGTGTGTGTGTGTTTGTTGCTCAATCACACATAAACTACTGGACGGATTGGGCTGAAATTTGGCATGATGATAGCTCACATTCCCGATTAAAATTAAAGCATATATTCTTATCTCAAAAATCCTTTCGGGCTCCGCCCCAGTGGCTCTGTAGTTCCCCATGTTAACCTTATGCTTTTTCATATTTAAAAGGAATTAATGAATCTTAACAGCTGTTTCAATTAAACAAGTTGGTTCTGTTCTATGATGTTCAATAGCATCAAAGTTACAAGGATTACCAACAGGGCGCAGCACTATTATTCTTTTTTTAATTTATATGACAACAGCTAATTTCCAACCAAAAGGTGAGTGAGCGTAGCGAACGAGCTAACCTGAAGGCAAGTGAGCGCAGCGAACGAGCTCCAACCTTTTTTTTTAAATTTATGACAACAGCTAATTTTCAACCAAAAGGTGAGTGAGCGTAGCGAACGAACTTCAACCTAAAGGTGAGTGAGCGTAGCGAACGAACTTCAACCAGGACGTGAATGAGCCATGCGAATACTTATGAAGTTAAACGGGGCAAAGCCAGCGGGTACAGCTAGTGAAATAAATAAATTAGACTGCATTTTAATTACCAGCTGATCATATGATCTTTATTGTTTGAATCGTTATTGTTTATGTTAGTTTCAATTCTTTATGTTAATGAAATAATACACTTTTTACTTGATTTAGCTTTTACTATTTATAAATAGTTACAACACTGTATAGTTAACATTTTAAATTTTAGTTATTAAGTAACGATTAAGCCTAACTGTATATATTTTTCACAGATGATTTTAGAGTATTAGATCTCAAAAAAGTGACTGTGAGACAAAAGCGGCAATCACGACAACAGAGAACCAAGTTTGAGGTACCTCCACCAAGGTATTTATTTTATAGCTTGCTGATAGTTTTTTTCCAAACAGTGTTACTGTAGGGTAGACTTTCATATCTGTTGTCAAAAACAACCGAATGAAAATATCGATAAATATTTTCGATTCGGTTGTTTTTGACTACAGATATGAAAGGCTACCCTTACTGTACTATAAAATCTTATTTTTCAAATTAAATCCCTCCAACTTTCTTAGAATAATGTTTTGTTTTAAATTATTTAAGTAGATGCAGGAGATTTTTGAATGGCTGTCTTTGGTAAATGGCACTCCCTCGCCTTGTTTAGTTCAATTGTAGCATATGTCCTATGGTTGGAGTGCTGCAAAAAATCCAAAAAACCCATCTGCCAGTGATGTGCCAGTTTAACATGTTCATTACCGTGAACAACTGCAAAATCTTCTTGATAGAACTGAGTAAAAATAGTGATGATAAATTCAAATTGTAGGCCTTACGATAGGAGTTAGAGTTAAACAAATTGCGGTTTTTTAGCTTCTAAACCCTGCGGTTGCTAAATGTCCAACACGATTATCCAAAACGCAACACTATCCATCCATGTAATTCCATAACTTTAGATATCATACAGAAGAAATCTTAATCTGTGGACTAACTGAAAAACATTAGACCATAATTCGATAAGACTTGGGTGTAGGAGGGATGGGTTTGATTCTCGGCGCATCCACAACACATTTGGGTTTAGATGCTGCTACAATGAATGTTATAAGGTTTGTTCCTTAGCAAAATATTTGTAACTTTGAATGAAATAAATAAATTTTGAAATTTACCAAAATGTCAAATTGAGGGTCAAAATGGAAAAATAATTTATCCTATAAAATAAAACTTTCTAAAAACCCTGTCCCCATATTCCGATCATCAAGGCCGTAGCCAGGACAAACTTTCAGGGGGGGGGGGCCAGGTCAGTGGTGGTTCTAGGACATTGTCAAGGGGGGCTCCCGGGGGGCTTGGGGGGTAATAAGAGGGGGTTCTGGGGGTCCTCCCCGGAAATTTTTTTAATATTTTAAAAGTATATTAGTGACTTTCTAAAGCTATTTTAAACGCCTAAAACTGTCTCCAATCAAAACTCCCATTAAAGCTATGTATAATCAGCTCGTTAACTTTTTAGAAAGTAATGATCTACTCGATAAAGAGCAGCACGGTTTTAGATCAAACCATTCTGTAATATCAGCGGCTGCTACATATATTGAGTCAATAATTGATTCTGTAGATAGGGGAGATAAAGTAATTGGAATATTTATGGACCTAAGCAAAGCATTTGACAGTGTATCTCATCATAAATTGTTAAAAAAATTGGAAGGACTAGGGGTTGTAGGAATTTCACTAAAATGGTTTCAATCATATTTAACTAATAGGAAACAGTTTGTAGAAATTACACACTTAAACAATCATAACCAGATGGTTAAAACAAGATCGCAGTTGAGAACAATTAAACATGGTGTACCACAGGGTTCTATTTTGGGTCCTCTACTATTTCTTACATATATCAATGGATTACCCAATGTTATTTCAAATTCAACAATGAATACCATCTGTTTATATGCCGATGATTCTAATCTTCTTGTAAGCGGAAAATCTGTTCATGAGATAGAAAAATCTGCCATCGATAACTTGATGAACATCAATAACTTTTTTTCAGATCATCAGCTATTACTAAATCTTTCCAAAACTAATTTTACACGCTTTAATCTAAAAACTAATACCAATTCAGATTACCCAGCACTAAAATTAGCCGGTGAAGATATACAAATTGTTGAGAACACTAAATTTCTAGGATTATACATAGACAGTAAATTAAGCTGGAATGATCATATTGATCATGTGGCAAATCGAATGTCAACAGGCCTATTTGCACTTTATCGATTATCAAAATTTTGTAAACTTGAATCCTTAAAATTGGTTTATTTTGCTCATATTCACTCACATTTATCTTTTGGTATAAGTATTTATGGAGGAACATCACAAGCTAATTTAGACAAAATTTTAATTCTCCAGAAAAGAGCAATACGCATTATGTTAAATTTGGGTTGGCAAGATTCTGTTAGGGAAAAATTTGAAGAACTAGGCATAATGACTGTATATAGCTATTATATCTATCAATGTATATTATATACTGTCAAAAATTCAAATAATGTCTCACTGGTAGGGGATTCTCATCAATATTGTACCAGAAACAGAAATAACTATGCAACACCTTCACATAGATTAAGATTTTTTGGAAAAAAAAACCAATGTATATGGGTATAAAATGTTACAATGCTCTTCCAACAAAACTAAAGGACTACACAAGGACTACAAAATTTAAAAATAATCTAAAAATGTATACTTTTTAACCAATCCCCTGTATTCAAAGAACAAATTTTTCCTCTTACATAATATATTAGAATAAGAACTTTTTCAATAGTGATTATATCTTTTTTACTTTTTTAGGATTAAGCATTATGATTTTGATCCAATGTAATGACGCCATTCGTGCACATGTTTGCAAAGTATGAATAAAGTTGATTTGATTTCATTTCATTTCATAACCTGTTGTTCGTCATAAGTAAGTACATACAAATTTAAACTATGACGATTGCATTCATAAATTTGTAACCATACTGTAGGCTACGGCCATATCCTCCTAAAAACCGTTTGGTACTTTCTTTACAGGGGAGGCCCCTGTAGCCTCCCTTGGAACCACCACTGGGTCGGGTCATGACTGTGGATAACAGATTGAAGCACTTTCATTCAAACACCAATTCCCATGTTTATTTTTAAAATGTTGATATAGCTACATATATATAAAATACTAGCAGAGTACCCGAACTTCGTACGGGGTCGGCATATAAGTATAAAACGCTTATTGCAGTTATACTCGAGCTTTGCATTTGCATTTTCAATGGGGGAGGACACCGTTTGATAAAATTTGCTTATTTAAATTTACGTTATGCCATAGTATTACATATCTACCATAGTCATAATGTTCTACCACTTCAACCTAAACAATAGAGAAGAATAAATTATTAAAAGTTTGCAAAATATCACAAATTATTCATGAAATTAAAAACATAAACATAACTGTAAACAATCCTACTTTGACAGTTCTCATTGCATATCACAGTTTTTGTTGCTGCTTGCTGTAGTTATGGTAAATGCAAAACAAATAATAGTGCTGCACCCTGTTGGTAAATCTTATAACTTTTTAATGCTTTTCATATCATAGAACCGACTTTTTTAGTTGAAACAGCTGACAAAATTCTTTAATTCCCTTTAAATATGAATACTCATAAGGTTAACATGGGAAACTGCAGAGCCACTGGGGCGGAGCCCGAAAGGATTTTTCAGAGAAAAATATGCCTATATGTTAATCGGGCATGTGAGCTATCATCATGCAAAATTTCAGCCCAATCCGTCCAGTCGTTAATGTGTGATTGAACTTCAAACAAACAAACAAACAAACACACAAACTTTCACATTTATAATTAAGGAACGCGGCAGCGTTCCGCCCCGCCAAGTCCCCCAGCGGTACACAGCTGCTGCAGTGTATATATACATGACGTGACAAAGTGGCTTTTTTACTCGTCTATAGCTCTGAAGAAACAAAAGCTATTAAAATAATTGTTCATCCACTGGATAGGGGCAATCATTCTTGGCAAAATAAAAAAAAGAATTTAAAAAAAGGTTGTGTTTGAGCCAAGAAAAACTAGTTTGAAAATTCACAAATTTTCCGTGTTCTCCTTCTTCTCCTTAAATGTTGACGGACCTACAGCCCAAACCACTGGCTCAATTTTAATGTTTTTTATGTTGTTTGAAAGCCCTTAGCGTGTAGATGTGCCTTTTGAGGGTCACAAGTCGGTGCGTTGACCCATAAACCCTTGGCAAGCCCTCAAAGTACGATTTTGGCCCATTTAAATAACATGGGATTAAAATCAAAACAAAAGAAGGATCAGCTGCGATTAAATCTCAATTAATTTAAAATGTTAGAGAAATTCATAGGATCAGCTGAAAAATTATTTTAAAACTTTTATAAAGTATTTTTTTCAGGTATACCGAATGATTTGAGCTACTTACTATTTAAAATTACTTAGAGCAGTGATATTCCCCGATACTTTCCATTGAAAAATGCAGTGTACCGATGGTACACTGGTACAGCAGCTCGTCATTTTTAACAGTTTAATACTACTTATCAAAACATATGAAACCTAGGAACTTGAAACTTAGTACTAGTACTAAGGTTAGTTTTAACATTGTTTCTTCATAATATTGCCAAAATTTATTTAACTAAATAAGGTTAGTTTTATGTTTTGATACACTAAAACAAATAAAACAATCGGGAAAATCCGTCTACGTATGTTAAACAAGCAAAAAAGTGAATGTAAAAAGTGATATGTAAATTTAGGATAAAAATGAGTTTTTCAATATTTGTTTTGCCTTATGCTATTTCTAACAAACCTAATCTGTTTGATTACATTTTTACTTCTCTAATAAGGGCTCAATTTACACTAGTCTTTAGATATACGGGTTTAATTATCGGAACACTTATGTAACACCAATGCATTTTATGTGTAGTCGTGCCCTGGTCTATATATAAGAGAAAAGAGGATTTTTATTTTAACTGTTAATTTTCTACAAAAATAAATACAATCTAACAAAAAACCACTAAGTGGTAACACTTCCCCCGCCAAGTCAGCAACCCAAAAAAGACAATAAATCACCACTTTTCCGCCAAGTAAAACAATGTAATGTATGTAAGTTTGGCCACTTGGCGGCAGACTTTTGCTTGATCACTTTAAAAAATACCATAAAATTAGTTTCATTGAGCAAGTATCTCTCCCAATAGTACATTGCTAGATGAGAGCTTATTTTACAAAATTTGACCTTATTTGTGTCACATTTCATAAAATCATAATAGTGATGGTTTTATATTTACTGATTACCTCGAAATTATTATACTTAGTTGGACTAATTAATTAGAGAAGTTGATTTGTGAAATTATCCACCAACGTAACTTTAATGAAAAAAAACAAGCAAAAGTCTGCCGCCAAGTTGCCAAACTTACATACATTACATTGTTTTACTTGGCGGAAAAGTGGTGATTTATTGTCTTTTTTGGGTTGCTGACTTGGCGGGGGAAGTGTTACCACTTAGTGGTTTTTTGTTAGATATTAGTAAGATTACAGGATGATAAATCTGTTTTTTTAGTAAAGTATTTTTGTTGAACCTTCATAGTTTTATTAGGTACCTCTTTAATAGATCAGAGCCCCCCCTTTAATAGAGCCCCAAGGAAATTTACCTCGTTTCTCTTTTGAGGGCTCACCTACAGACCAATACCTTTCTTTAGACACCCCTACCAAGTTTCTACGGCCAGCCGTTCTCTCAAATTAGCTGTGACAAAAACCTCGTTTTCCTCCATAAGAATAACATGGGATGGGAATTTAAAGGCCACTGGGGCAGAGCCCCGAGGGAATTCTCCATGTTTCTTTTTTGATGGCTCATCTACAGACCTGGACCTTTCTTTAGACACCTCTACCGAGTTTCTACGTCCAGCCGTTCTCTCAAAATAGCTGTCACAAAGAAAAACAGTTTCAAATTAATATATAGATGTTTACTAAAATACACATAATAATGAAACAACAACACACAATGTTAACTTGGCCCATTGGCCTACTACAACATGTCTATCTCGCCTGGCCGCTCGGACGCTACAGAATACTTCGACGAGATACAACTAATTGTCATCACAAACAAAAAATGATGATGACAGCTGAAGAAAAGAAAAAAAAAAATAAAAAACTCCTTTTTAGGTTTTGGATTAAGCGGATTATCGGATTACTGAAGTTTGGATTATTGTGACTCCACTGTATATGAAATAAATATAAATGAATCTGAACGGATAGTGCTTTTGGCCGCTGGGGACATCAAAACAATAAAGTAAAGGGGTCCCTGGTGTAGTTCTCACCACAGTTGTAGCTTACTATATGGGATAGGCCTACCTATGCCTATATGGGAAATTCGCTAAAATTGTACCATGCCATTTTTTACTAGCTAGTTTTCTTTTTGCAGAACAACCTTGATGAAGGAAGACCAGGATTGGACATCAGTTTGGCCTGGACCTCGTACGTTTCACCCTGCTGTGGTGCCACTTCCCATCCGCCAAGGCCACGGCAAGAAGAAGGCAGCACCTGGCAAATTTGGTAACGCGGAACTCATGAAAATACCCAACTTTCTTCATCTCACACCGCCTGCTATCGAGAAGCATTGCGAAGCTCTTAAGAAATTCTGTACGCCATGGCCAGTGGGGCTTGAAACAGATGAGAAGTGCGAAGATCATTTCCCTGTAGAGGTTATATCATCAGATTACTGCCATTCCTCTCCCACCATCAGAGACCCCCTCGCCAGGATTGTGACAATCAAGGTAGTTTTTGTACATTCGTAAGTTAATTGTATTTATTCAATTACTGCAATTAAGGGTGTAATATTGTACTGTTTATTACAATATGCAGTGTATCTCTTAGTATCATAATAAGCGAATGGTTATATTAGTTAAAATGATATAAAGAAAGATACTTGAGAACCAAGGCAGCGATGTTGTGGGTTCATGTCCCTGTGTTGTCACTGATAATTTACCTGTATTATTCTTTCTGGTACTGTTCACATCCACTACTAATAATGTTTGTTGACAAATGGAACATTCAAAGAAACCACAAACCCCTAAAAGAGAAAAACTAGTGATAAATCCGTGAAATTTTTATCAATTGTCGGTTACAATAATTTTTTGTTTTGAATGGATACAATAAAAATTACCTGCTTATAATTTAGCGTAAGCCACACTAATTCTAAGTTGTTTAGATCTGTGCATTTATAATAAATAACTTAATTATGTCATCAATACTATAATATGTGATCGTGCTGCACTGTCATAATCATCTCCCTCCATCCCGAAGAAATACTGCGGAAAAGTTGTGGATGTACCTGTGATCGGTGATCGCTAACATAATTGTCTTCCATGATTTCGGCAAAATGATTGCATAGCAACAAATAAACTAAGACCAACATTTTCGATCAATTCTCGGTTTTGGTTTTTTGTTAAAAACTAACAACAGACATTAAAAATAGACCCATTTGTCTCTATACAGTCTACCCTGTACACAGTCTAGACCCTCTAGATTTGTAGACACTCTTAGTCTGATTGGAGGCAGGGTTAGCAGTGGTTCAGAAACATCAATCACAGTCACGCCTACTATTGTTTATATGTGCTAAGGGCCGGTACACACACACTGACTTTTGTTGTGCCCCTGTACGACTCAAGAAATCGTATATCTGCACGACAAGTAGAGAAACAAAGTAGGCAATGGAAGTCGCATGGGGGTGTACACACTAGTGCGACAGAAGTCGTGGACGACAAATTTTGAGTTGCGCCCTACACCGACTTGGGGTCCGACAGGCAAGTCGGGTCATATGGGCTCACGACTGTTTTGAGTCGAAGTGGGACATGGTGTTATACGGCTGTCGCGTTGGTGTATACACACTAATGCGTCTCAGGACACGACTGCGGGGCGCCACGCTGGGAAACTCAGACCCTGCCCCGCCAGCAGTGTTGCCGTTTTGCGCGTAATCACGCTTTTTGCGCGGCTTAGGGTTGTCAATCTCATGTAATAATAGTCATAACGTAATAATAGCCAATCTGATTTACGTGTTTAATTTTCTTATTTTGCCCCTAATAGTATCCAACAGGATGTCAAATGACATTGGCAACATTCTGAAATATCCAAAAAACTTTGTTTCCCATGTTTGGGAAATGAAAAATGTTTCCCATCACTTTTCAATTAGTCAAACGATACACCAAACAGTCCTTTTGTCCTTCTCTCAAGTAAAAAAGGATCTGTTTGGATTCTTCTTCTTCTACGTCGACGCTTTCTCCTTAACAAGAGAAGGAGAACCTCTTCCTCCAGCGACATCCTCACAAATGAGTAGTCCTAAAGCCAGTAGAGTTCGCTGTTGTGTTTGCTAAGTCGTATACCGATACGACAACTGTCATGAGGTAACACGACTTTGTCGTATGCCAGCACGACACGAACAGTCGTACTCACATGCGTCCAATTCGGTGTGTGTGTACCGGCCCTTACTGTAGGCAAGAAAACCAACCTACAATTTAGACCTTGGGTTTGCAATTGGTGATCAATTATTTACCTCACTTTGGGGAGATATTAAAGATTTAGTTGCGATCATGGAAGACGATGATAATGGGAAACAAGCAGGATGTTGTTGCTACAAAGCTTCTGTCTCCTTTAATAACAATTCTTATTGCTGTGGTTTTAGGATTTAGAATACTTTCTGTAAGTGATTTGGATAATTAATTGGTGATTCCGGTACTTAGAGTTTGGATAATTAAAGTTGGAGTTAAAGTTACCGTAGCTTGAATCTGTAGTGAGCAATCAGGTTGCTAATAATTACGTAGTATTGTTAGTGACACTTTTCAAGGAACCCTATGTTTGTATGAATTAAGTATGGGGTAGTAAATCAAAAGGTTTGCATGCATAGTCATCCCGATAGACTATGGTGGTGCAGTTTACTACATCTGTAGAAGCTTATTACTATAGGATTTTAAAGATATTATATTGTTGAACAGATTTGTAAATATTAAATGCAGATGAAAAAAGCTCATCCAGTCATTACGAGTAAAATGTTGCTCCTGAAACAAATCTAAAACTAGTTAAAAGATAGGGAATTTTCCAGGAATTATCAAGGAAATTGACAGGAAAGCAGGCTTACCTTTAAAGAAGTCCGTAGATCCACAAATTTATACAACATAAAAGTAGACATTTTCAAACACTGGAGAACCCTCCTAAGAGCTCTCCAATTTCTGAAAATTTACTTTTTTGTTGTATATATATGTGTGTCTCTATGGACTTATTTAAAGGTAAGCCTGCTTTCCTGTCAATTTCCTTAATAAATCTAAAACTAGGATAGACTTGTAATTAACCTTGTTTTGTCATTATTTACATTTATTAAATAAGAGGGATATCTGTTAGTATTAAATAAGGGAGTTTAGGAATACTGAGCTGGCTAAATTTAAGTTTATTGCAGCTGAAACTGAACAGGCTTCCGCTTGATAAGCATGCCAAAGATAAGATTCTTCGATTGCTACAAGATCACTATGATGAGAAGACGGATGTTGTCACAATCACCGCCGACAGATGCCCGTTGCGGCAACAAAACTATGACTACGCCATGTACCTTCTAACTGCTCTATTCCACGAATCCTGGGTCAGTATTAACTGTTAAATCTATATATAAAGCCCAAAGTACCCATGAACTTTTGAGAAAACTACAAGTCACACCCCCATAAACCATATAGCCTACTTAAAATGTTCGTCATGACGAGAAACCTTGCGCAAAACTATCCGTTATTTCATAAATTACCCTATAAGGTCGTAATTGCTTTCCAAAGGGAACTTTCCATATACCTAATTGAGCGAAGCTCACTTTCCCTCACTTTGTAACTTCTTTGTAAGAGCATCAGAATGTAATGGCTTGGCCAATTGATATGAAATTTGGCCAACAGCTAAAGAATACTGAGCACAATGTTTTGGTAAAAAATATTTGCGAATTTCCTTCTGGATTTTATTTTACGGGTCACGCAATTTCGCTTGTTATTTTAATGTTAGTTGAAATAAAAACTATATTGGGTTTATGACATATGGGTTTATCTCGTTTCATTTAAATAAGATAAACATATGTTAATTGTTTGTAACTGTTTTGTTTACATTTCAATGTTTACTTTCATCCTAGGTTAAAGTTGGAATGTAACAGTTTATCAATGGAAGTAACAGTTTTGCTATATTTGTTTTGAGCACGCCTCAAAGGCCACGTTGTAATATTGGTCGTCGCACTAATAATGCAAATATTGTAATTGTAAAAGAGTGGCGTCGTGAACAAGAAGAACCAGATAAAGCAGTGGCGGAAGAAGCTGATACGATAAAACACCCACAACCACACAACAACCCATGCATTAAAACGGATGTTTTTGCTGCAGTACGACGAAAAATATATTTTTGTGATTGATAACTGAGTAGGTGTGCTACTATAGGCAGTTAGCTAATCAATTCCAACATGAATTAGATGCACTAAAATTTTACACTTGCACTAACTGTCATCGCCAACAACTAACAGCTTCAAACCAATCACCGATTTGTTCACGTTGTCGTTCAAATGCAACTAAATTCACGGCGTTAAATAATATGGATGTGTCAAGTGTCCCGAACGAATTAACTGACCTGACGATTGTAGAACAAATGTTGATTGCACGAGTACATCCCGCTATGCGCATTTACAAAGTACAAGCAGATGGTTAGGATGGCCAGTTTCACTACAAAGGTACAGTATGAACTATCAGATAAATTTGTCATTCTTTAGAACTTAAATAATATCGGGCAAACAAACGGTGAATCTGTTGAAAGGGAACATTTTGTAGGGTGTTATCTGCTTTAGCCATTGACAATCTTTAAATAATGCTTCGCTCATTTATGCGTCTAAAGTGTAACGGCAGACCACCCTAGTGTTAAAAATACCTCAGCTGTACTTTTGTATGTTATTTTTTTAAATCAGGTGTGATTATTTGTTTGTATTACTGTATTCTGTTTTGTTTATTTCAGCTTAAAAACTTAACCAACCAATAGTTTCATTATACTTATGAAGTCAAACGGGGTAAAACCCGTGGGTAACAGCTAGTTTAAATTAAAACTAGGGAGACTCAGGAAATAGTATTATGACTGTGCTCTATGTGCTATATGCTCTATTATGATCTGGGTACCTTTTAACTGTTCCTTTTTACGAATGCTGGGTCAGTAGCCTACTAACTGTTTATTTTAAAATTAAGGAGGTATTATTCCAGCGTCATTAAATTTTACCAAGTATAATATTTTTTATTTATTAAAACAAAATGAAATATTTACTATACTGTGAGTTCAGCTAAAGGAAAGCACGGAAATGATCCTAAATATAAAACAAAAAAATATATTATACAAATCGATTGAGTTTTTGGTTCTTTTTTTAAACTTTTTCTAAAAATCCAATATCTCCAATGTCTTGAAGTGACAGGGGGGTGGGGGGGGGGGGGGTACTGACCACTATACTAGTGTTGGGGAGCGAGCTTGTCTATTGGTAGAGTCACAGAGGTCCCAAATTCAAATCCCGCCAAATCAAAAATGGATTTTCTAAGAGATAATGATGCAACCCATAGGTCTAGCCTGAAGAATGTAAAAAAATCCCAGACTCGTGCCTTTCTTCCTACAAAAAAAGTCTCAGAAGTTACTAGGCTGGGAGTACAGTTAAAGAATATTGTATGCCTACTCATATTTTGATCAACTATCAAAGTTTTATGACCATACTCTACTCTCAGGTATTGAAAATGCAAATTTGTTTGTTTTCCGTGTTTTCAGAGGGTCGAAAGCTGGGAGAAGGATAAAACTCTGGAGGACATGGAGTGTTACGAGTGGGAGGCAAACCAGTCTTACAAGAACGTGAATAATCTTCTGAGCCGAACACATCCCGATGTTGACCTCAAGAACCCTCCTGAGGAGCTCGCCGCCACATTAAAGGATTATAAAAATGCCATTGAGGATATATTCAACAACAGCCGAGGTAAGTTTAGGTTGTCGAATTCTTAGCTTACCTAGTACCACAGTTTACCTAGAGCCAAACAGCTACAGTGTTTCTCTTGTTAGAACGGTCTCTGCTCCAGAGGGTTATAAGGGGTCCAATGTCAGACTTTTGCAACTACAATGTTTACAAATAAATCAGCAGATTATTTATTTGAAAGCAGATGTTTACTTTCAACAACTGTTGGTTTGAATAATCACAACATTCTGTATTAGTCATGATTTGGAATAGTGCCACAATATTTCCACAGAATGCAGTACAGAAAACTATTTTACTTTTAGATAAGTCCAAATATATTAAACCCCAATGGCGGCACACCTGTGCACTCAACAACGTTTAAATTCTCCCCTACTGTATTAAATATGTAAAGATAAAAAGTAAAAACCTTTATCAAAGTAAAAACTTATATATTCATACACCTATAAAGATATAGATTGTAAAGAACAAATTACCATTTAAAATAATAGTTGTTAGCGCAGCAACGCGTGTTGGGTAACTGCTAGTCCATAGCCTATAAAAATCCCAAAGTACCCTTGGACTCCGTATAGCCAAGAGTGACGTGCGCCGGCCGGCCAACTATGTTAAATGTCTACCGTGGCTGTGTTGTGTTTGTGTTCAACGTATTTAAGAAGATTTGACTACATTCAATGAATGAAATATTTTAACGTTCTGTTTCGAAAATGACTACTTAGTAGTCGAAACTAGTCATCAGAAGTTTGACAAAGGAATTGTGGACGTCAAGGTACGTAACCTGTTATAATTGATTACCAATTCCGGAAGGCTTCAACATGAATAAAAAGAACTTCGTTCAATTGAACCACAGATATATTGTGCCACTGTAAAATGCTGATTTATCCCTTGTACAGATTGTGTAACATTCCAAACTTAAAGGACATTATAGTACCTACTATCTCCTCATCAACCAACATTCTAACTCTTATTTTTTTACTTGAAGATTGAAGGAAACAATTCTTCTGTTACCGAATATTAGAGCTTGATTGAAGTACAGTTACAGTGGCTTTGGTCGTAGAAAAGTTGAATACACTCTGTTTTCCTGAATCCCCCTGAATCTTTCTGTTGCTCTTAATTTAATTTATCTAATCGACTCATTCTTTTTCAGAGGAAAGTGAAGAAAAGCTAAACCAATATAAATCTGCATCTGAAAAGTTATTGTTCTGAAGTTTTTAAATAATATAGAAATAAAATGTACATAGAATACTTTCTTTGTAGATCTCATTATTTTACCTCACACTGTGTCCATCTTAGATACTAAGCAACAGTATAATACGTTACTATAGTCCGTTCACACATTTTAGGCGATTTGAGGGAAAGTCCCTCACTACTTTTTTGCTTAATGCCTATGTTGCAGCTGATTGGCTGTTTGGCAAACAAACTTCAGCTGTTGGACTAAGATAAAGCGTAGGGAATAGATTTCTTCTACCAAAACCGTAAATTTTAATTTTGTAAACTGAGTATAGTTCCAAAAATAAATGTTTACCAGACGATTAGACAATCACTATTGGTACTCAAATTCTCTCCAACAGGTTATGTTTATGTTTTAAACCACTCACTGTCACTGGAATACTTATACGTTTCCTTAGTCAATGCTTATACATACTTACACTATCATTAGACTACTTATCATCAAACTTTGTTTGTGATTTTATCTTTAGAATTAAGCTTAGTGTGACCTATTAGAATTAATGACTGTGATTTGATTAGTAACATTCATGTTACCAAGTGTTATTTTTTTATGTACAGAATATCTTTTATTTTTTTAGGTTAAACATGTTAAGCTATGGTTTTATCATGAATAAAACCATGGCTTATACATTTCTGAGCAAAAAAAGTTGATTAGATTTAGTTTTGAAAAATTTTTCACTGATAATTTGATATATGTTTATGAAATACCGGGGTTAAAATAAACATTATTATAATCAGCTGGTGTCCGGAAAAGTTAATTACTGTAGCCTACAGTAGTAGTAGGTACAATGGTTGTACCTACTCATACGCAGACCTTGTAGGGCTGGGCACATAAAAATATCATGCGGAAGGCTGTCTCCTCCTCCTCACCACATTCCCTACATAAGAGGCTTTCAACTTGAATTCCCACCTTGTATGGATGTCCGCGGAATAACCAGTGGCCGCTGATGAAGCCAACCACCAGGTCGCATCCGGTAGGTGTCTGCAGCATTCTCTTTGACTGTATGTTGCCATTATCATGACCAGGAATTATTGTCTGTCAGGGTTTGAGTTTCCCCCGACAACCGCCCAGTGGTCCGTGTCAAGGTCATTCTGGAGCTTGAGGCCCTGCATCACGTCATTCTTGGTTATTGCCCCCGTTGAGATGGGAACAAACGCCCGATACCTTCACAGCTTTCACAAGGTCTCTGGCTGGAGCAAGCTGTAGCAAGATTTCCCCGAAAGGACTCAGCTCCTGAACTTGTTTGACCAGCCAATCCTCCTGTGGCTGCATTAGCACAGCCAACCACCAAGGCTCTGCCTTCAAGATGGCAGCTGCTTATCTTGATGTCTTTGCCACGAATGGCCCACCTGGACAGCTCCCCCTTGATTTTGTTGGCTTCAGCCTCCGTCCGTTTCCTGTCCGGGTGTTCAGATCTGGCGATGGCCATCTTCTCCACAGACAGTATCAACGAATAGGTGGGTACCGTTGCTCTCTGAAAAACCCGAGCCCTCTACCTCTTTCGTCCCCGTCTTCTTTTTCTCGCCCCAGACATCCTCATGTGTCAGGTGCTCTCGCCCCCTCTTTCCACCTTTCTTCCTGGAGGCTTCATTAGAGTCAGCTTTGGGGGTGCCGCCCTCGCCCTGCTTTTTTCTCAACATCCTGGTTCCTGGAGGAACTGGCTTTGCAGGGTTTGGGTGCTTGGCAACCCACGCCAGCCTCCTCACTTCTGGATAGCACCTTTGGCCAAAGCGTCCACTTTCCTCAAAAATGTGTTCATGGGGAAGCACCATTAAGATGGTAATTCCATATTTATTCAGAATGTAAATTCTTCGCCTGAGAAAATCACATATAAGATTTCATCTTTCTGAAGTGACATTTTTGTTCATGAAGGAAACATTGCTCTGGTAGAAGTCTTGACTAAGTCTAAGTAAAGAGGTAAAGGAGATCCAGATTTACATTAATTCCTTTTTTTAAATCATGGTCAGATACAAGAGTGGCATGGCTATTCGGTGCTTTGGTACAACATTGGTATTTTAACTGGCAACTGTCTCAAGGCTGCAGGAACTCGTACCATTTTATTAAGAAATGTAAAGCGCTCAGACGAATTTCAGAAATGTTTCTAGTTTCATCTTAACATCATTCTTGCCGGCATCAGCTCAAGAAAATCATGTAGATCCAGTTTAAAAAAAATCAAACTGTTGACCCTTCTTGCCCTTTATATTTTACACTTGTTACTTTTCATTAAAAACATTTACTTACTTGAAAATTGTAAAAAAACTCATAATTATGAAACTAGACACAAACAACTTTTGGAATCTAAGCCACATATTAGCTTTGTTTCACAATGCATTAAAATGCATGTTATTATCAATGCATAAAAGTCTACAACAAATTATAATTTTATTTCACATACCAGTCTTTGAGTTTAAATAATTTTCTAAGGAAACTTTCAGAAAAATTGATTGTACTTTGTCCTTGTGATATGAATTCATTTTTATCCTGTCAATTGCAATATCTTGTTTTAATATTTTTATATATTTATTATGTGTAAACTATTTATAATACATGATCCGATTTTGATGAAATTTGGTATAAACGTGTAAAACTACATTTATTCAAACAAGTTTGCTAACCAGCATGATCGGACTATTGGAACGGGGGTTTACAGGGGGTTTTATGGGGTAAAAATAGGTTTTTCCCATTTTTGACAACAAAAAAAAAACATAAAATTTAGCAATTTCTTTCCAAACCATTTTGTAGAGCTTAAAAAACAAATAATTTATTATATTTAAGCGTTATTATGCGCCTAATTGTTATGGACAAAATTAAAAAAAAAAAGTAAATTTAAAATTCCAATGTTATTTTTATGGAGAACAAGTAAACTGTTGTAGTTAGCTTGTTTATGAACATATTTTGATAAAAAAATGATCCGATTTTGATGAAATTTGGTATGAACGTGTAAACCTACATTTATTCAAAAGAGTTCGCGAACCAGCATGATCGGATTTTGGGAACGGGGGTTTACAGGGGGTTTTTATGGGGTAAAAATAGGTTTTTCCCATTTTGACCCAAAAAAAATAAAATTTAGCAATTTCTTTCCAAACTATTTTGTAGAGCTTAAAAAAACAAATAATTATGGAGTATATTGAAGCGTTATTATGCGCCTAATTGTTATGGAGAAAATTCCAAAAAAATGTAAATTTAAAATTCCCATGTTATTCTTATGGAGAACAAGTAAACTGTTGTAGTTTGCTTGTTTATGAACATATTTTGATCAAATTTGGAAAATGTTTTTATTTCTCACTAGCTATTAACATTTTACAAAAAAAAAAAAAAAAAAAAAAAAACTGTTTTACCCTCCCTGATGCAGCAAACCTAAGTACTTGTTAAACTAATTCTATTTAAATCTATATAAATAAAATTAGAGTTTTGTCTGTACATTGCTTAGAATAATGAACTTTTTGGTTATTTTTACATTTCATAGGTCAGAGAAACCGAATCAAACCTTATCTCAATTTCTGTCTGTCTGTCTGTCTGTCTGTCTGTCTGTCTATCTGTCATTCTCTTGGTAACGCTAAAATACGCACTTTATTACAACTACTCCTCAATAACTATAGCACTGTCCCGCCTGAAACTTATTTTCCAAATACTATACATATATGAGATGGTTTTAGACGTATTTCATCGAATATGAGACAGTTAGATATTTAACAGTAAACCCTTGAAAATCAAGTTTTTGTCGATTTTTGACGTGGAATTTCTGGAAGCCCATGTTAACCTTATGAGAAATGAAATTATTGAATCTTAACAGCTGTTTCAATTAAACAAGTTGGTTCTGTTCTGTGATGTTCAATAGCATTAAAGTTACAAGGATTACCAACAGGGTGCAGCACTAGCACTATTATTTCTTTTACATTTATGACAACAGCTAATTTGCAACCTGGAGGCGAGTGAGCGTAGCGAACGAGCTAACCTGAAGGCAAGTGAGCGTAGCGAACGAGCTAACCTGAAGGAAAGTGAGCGCAGCGAACGAGCTCCAACATACAGGTGAGTGAGCGTAGCGAACGAACTTCAACCAGGACGTGATTGAGCCATGCAAACGAGATCAGATAGTAAAAATAAAAGTAAGCCTACCGTTATAGGATCGACCGGCAGACACAGAGGTAATTTAACCTTTTATTGATTGTCATACCGATCCGGAACAACAAAAAACAACATAAAATGAAGCTATGTATAATAGTTTGGCCAGCATATCTTAAAATATGCAAACCAACTGCTGTTCGTTATATAAGAAGGTTTCAACTGAATATTATAAGATCCCCGTGCGTAGAACGGGTACACAGCTAGTAGGAAATAAATGTAATATTTTTAAGTAGACATTTTAGTGTAAATCCAATCAGGCAAATGGAAATTTGCTTAGTCTGCAGGTTTGCTGTGGCGGGGGTATTTAGTTTTTTACAACAGATATTCTTGCTTGACAGTAATAATTTATGACAAATTCCATTAACTAATCTTTGTGTAATATTCAACATCCAATAAAACTGTCAAAATTACTGTAATTATTACAGTTTAAAAACTTTAAATCACCTATACAATTTATTTACCTTTCAATAGTTTGAAATTTCCATACTGAGATGTATGGAAATACGAAAACGATGATATTACTAGATGAAAATGTTCTTTTCCGTATGGGAGTGAAGTAGCCATAAGAGGTCTGAAGAATGATAGAATATGTTATTTTATAAAACAGATTGTTGATGTTTTTTTATAAATAGACACAGGATGGGCAAAGCAATGAAATGCTTCCCTGTTTTAGAGGTAATAGGTTTTTAAATCATATACATAGCCTACAACTGTTAGGGACTTTTTGAAATAAAATAAAATAAAATAAAATAATTTGTTTGATTAATCTAATGCGACATAGCCCATTGCTATAATTATCAAGCATCAGTTGAGGACATCAGTTGAGGGGTCCATCAATATGGGCATGGGGGCTCAAGTCCCTCTACAAAACCCTACTCTAGCTTATTTTTACAAATTCTAAAATTATGCATAAACTATAAATTTACAATACACCAAGCAAATCTATGTATTTTTGTAAAATCAGCTACATAAATTTTAAACATTTTTCGGAGTAGAACCGATGATCCCTTCTTTTTATTGCAGGTTATTCCTTACCCCTCCAGTCCCCTCCCCCCTTATGGAACAGTTAAATGGAAGCCCATGGCTGTATGATCAAATAAATCATAAAGGAAATAAGTTTCATCCGTCAAACTCATAGTTGCTAAACTGCTGATAAGTTGGGGTGAATTTTTAGCGATATCCAGATAGCGTAGAGCATGCTTGTAGTTGGTATGTAGCCACAAGGCCTGGAGCTCAAACAAGCTTGGTTCCTTTGACGCATATTTCTGTGGCGATAACTTGTTCCACCCCGAGGCAAGGGAAGTTTCTCTCTACACATGCTACTTCTCAAGTTGTACTTGACAAACTGTATGATTGCACCACAGAAACAGACTTTTGACATTGCTGAAAGATATATAAACGGATTTTTTCAAATATGTTGCGATTAATAAACCCCTGGAATTTTACTATGTAAGTAAGTACATACAAAAAAGTAGAAATAAGTTTATAAAACTACAATCAAGAATGTAATTTTTTCCAAAACTGCATTGTTAGCGAGATATCTACCATTTTCTTTAGCTACAGCATTTTAAATGTATATTTTTATGAAATTTGGTGTATGATTCGAAGTAGCAACAATTTTTGTGAACAAATATATTTTTGGTTCAATATGGTGGCCATTTAAATTTTATAATTTACTTATAAGTTACTACAAATGGATTATTTTGTAAAAAAATGTCTAGAACACTTCTGCTTAGATTTATAATTTCCTATCAAGCGACATCAAGTGACATCAAGTTAAGGCATTGGGGGGTAATAAGTAGTTGAAAACTTAGATTTTTACTTGTTCACCCAGGGAAAATGAGGCGCGACCTGACAGCTTGGCCTTATTTTGGCTTATTAAATATGGTTACGACTCGACTTCAACATATGGTTTAACTAAATAGCCTTTAGTTAGTAACACGGAAGTCCCTCAAACATGACATCCTAGCCAAAATGGTGGAAGTTTAAACTAACGAAACTGAACTTCTTTCACAAAGCTAATTAAGCTGGTATATTCCTCGTAATTGTAATAGAGATATTTACTTTAATGTGTTTAACTACCTTACCATACCTATGCTCTTTATTTCTTTCCGACTATTTGTGGACGTCCCCAGTATAATGGAAAAATTTATTTTGCCTCGAAACGTAGTTTTTAAGTAAAATACTGATGTACAAAACTTGGTTGCGTTATTTGCAACAGCTCAAAAAATAAATTACCATTCCCCGTTTTAAGACCCTGTAAAAATGTTGAAAATTAGAAAGGTAAACCATAAATATTTACTAAACTAAAAAAATATTGAAAAGCGGAATTAGTGGTTGCGTAAGTGTGTACAAGTTTAATGAGCTAAATTGTTTGGTTACATTTAAGTCGAAGCGATTTGAAACACATTTACTATCTAGTTTTGGCGAAGCAATGCTTTTGCGATTAGTTTATTTTGTTATCTTTTAATTACAACCCAATATGCTGAAGCTGAAGCCACCCCCTCAACACCCAGTTCAATGAGAAATTAAATACCCCCGCCGCAGCAAACCTGCCGACTAAGCGAATTTCCATTTGTCTGAATTGATTTTCAATTAAATATATTTTAATAACATTAGGTTTGACGAGTACCTAGGTTTGCTGCTACAAGAAACCTAATAAAGTGTGTTTTTGAGTAAAATATTGATAGCTTAGTACAAAATAAATAAATTTGCCAAGTTTGATCAAAATATATCCATAAACAAGCAAATTACAACATTTGACAATATTCTCCATAAGAATAACATGGGAATTTTAAATTTACAATTTTTTTAATTTTCTCCGTTACTAATAATCGAACAAAAATACTTTTATATACTAAATTATTTGTTTTTTTAAGGTCTTTAAAAAGGTCTAAAAAGAAATTGGGAAATTTTGTGTTTTGAGGGTCAAAAGTGAGAAAAACCAATTTTTACCCCATAAAACCCCCCCTAAAGCCCCGTTCCCATGGTCCGATCATGCTGGTTCGCGAACTCATTCAAGTTTATCTCGCTTTACACCTTTAAACCAAATTTCATCAAAATCGGACCAAAATTACTCAAGTTATCGCGTTCACGGACGTATATATATATATAAATCTATATATATATATATATATATATATATATATACATATATAAAAATTTGAACGAATGGTGTTTTTGGCCTCTGGGGACATCAAAATGAAAAAATAAATCGGTCCCAGGTCTAGGTCTTACCGTGCCACCTACGGTAATAGCTACTTCCCTATAGGGAAATTCGCTAAAAGCATTGTTTATCAACATGAGGTAATGGCTTAGTTATGCATGGAAAAACACAATCGTCGAAAACAAACTGTTTGGAGTGTTCTAGGAGAAAAGTAATTCCTTTCTAATTTACTGTAGGTTAACTAGATAAGATTAGCTGCTCGGGTACCGAGAATGACGTGAATCGTATATTTTCTGGTATTAACCCTGTTAAGCTGTACTTGAACGAAACAAACACAGTAATCAAAGGATTAAAATGAACTCTAGACTCTAGTACATCTCAGTTAGCCTATAAAACCAATCTCAATGCTAGTTTTTAGTGTAATACTTAATCAACTGTGTCTAAAATGCGTGTTTCTCTGTTGATTTTCTTTGTGTTCGCTTCAGTGTTTTCTGTGAGTATTAACGAAAATTTATGTTCATACAGAATTGTTGGATTTTAGTTTTACATTAGTAAACGATGAAAAGTTGTATTAAGACATTGTTAACCAGTTAACCAGTAAAATTTCAACATAGTTCTCATGGTGTAGTAGCCTACGCGCTAAGGACAAAATAAGCACTTTTATATAAACAATTGATAGGTTTTAGGATAATTTGAAAATCGTCTTGTATACTATTTTAATCAGGTCAGAAAACTGTTAGGTTTAGAGGATAAAATAGTTGTGTCCATTAATGTTTCATTTTGCATAATAAGTTAGTTAGGTTGCTTTAAAGTGTACCGTATAACTTATTTTTTGTTATAGGAAAACTAATTTTAGTTTTTGTACAAGTAAACGGTTAGAAATACCAAATACCCGCTCAAAACATGTTGCTGCTAAGAAGCTAGTGTATTTATTTAAAATCTATTCGAGTTGTAAAGACAGAGTTGTCAATACACGTTAAGTTAATACGAGTTTTACAGTAAACCTGGTTGAGTTTGCTATGCATTTGTAGCATTATAGCAATGTAGTTCACAAATCCATGGTTGAAACGAATTGTAATAAGCGAATATTGTTTGAGATTCAATAGGGAATTGTTAAACTAAATTAACAACTGACCACAAAGTGCTAGGTTAACATATTATAAAGTGAAATTATCACCTTTGTCATATAGTAATATTTACTTTTTACTGCTTCTCATCGAAACTTTAAACGTCCGTGGGTGTATTCCGAGACATAAACACGTCTATGTGTTGACCTTGTTCATAGTGAGTTTTTCGAATTCAAATTATTGTATTCAACAAAGTTTCGCAAACAGATACAGGGATGCGCTGATAGAAATACAGCTGTGTATAATTATGAAGACGAGATGGTTTATGTCTTCCGTTATTGTATCCGTGTGTTTGTTCCGGGTGAGAGTGAAAACTGCAAAATTTTTTGGGCTGAAATTCAAGGGTGGATTAAGAACCCGCCACATATGTAGCTCCGGTCACTTTGTACTAATTCCATCCATTGACGTTCGAATTTTCGATGAGTTACTTTTGGAAGAAAATTTAATTGGCCTCCACAAGAAAAATCACATTTACGTTTTTGCCCTACTACTAAAATTTGTACCCTAACAAAAGTCGATCGTGTTAGCCAAAGAAAGCTGTATAAACCTAAATTGTATAATTGAGTGACGTTACTATTACAATACTGGGAGGGTTTTGTGTAACTATTTTCATATGTAGATTTTAAGAACCATATCATCTCTCCTTGGTCCTAGGTTAGTAAATAGATTTATATTACGATTACATTACATTTCCAGGTTCAGTTAGTGAGCAGCAAACTGAGCTACAACCACGACGACGACAACTTAGATAACTTGAGAAGATGGCATCAATCTCAACTGAGAATATTTCAAAAACCTAACGAGAGGCAGTCAGAACTGCTCCAAGGATCCGATGAAAGCAGTGATTCCAGCGCAGAATCATTGAGTGTCAGTGAATCCAGGGAAAGTGATTCAAGTGAGGAAGAACCACCGAAACCCCCTCGTCCAGGTCCCAAACCTGGACCTAAGCCTGGGCCCGGACCTAAGCCTGGGCCCGGACCTAAACCAGGGCCCGGACCGAAACCTACTGACAAACCGGAACCCAGTCCACCGGGGCCCAAACCAGGTCCTGGACCTAGGCCTACCCATCCACCAGGCCCCGGGCCCAGACCGAGACCTAGACCGTCACCTCCTCCGAGACCCACCCCAGGACCTACCACTGATACACCCGTGACGGAACCATCGACGTCAACCGAACCCGAGGGAAGTGGAAGTGGTGATGTAGATTATTTTAAATGGTGATACGACTTTCATTAACTACTGGAAAAATGAACAGGTTATATTTGTATCGAGATTTATCAAAGTAAATAGTTTAGATATTTTTTGTAATTTTTTAATCTTCAACCTTCTGGTAAAATGTGTCTACCTGGTTAAACATTTAAAATTACTAAACGAAAATGCCGAGATTGTATAATATAAATAGATTACAAGTAGTATATTAAGTTTAGGTTGAAACTTTTACACACGTTAAATATTAACTGAAAAGTTCTTTTAAATTACCTGTTTTTAGTTACCTGTCCAATATCTGAATACGAGAGTTTATACTCAGGAAGTGTTCAATTGAAACGATAAAAAGCGCAATGCCTGTAAATCTGCATCGCCTTTATGAAGATTTTATTACTTTATCGAGTAGTTTCATATAGAAGTAGTTATTTGTGGACCAAGTATAGCACATTTTCAGTAGGTATTAGCATTTACTATTATAATAGTCAAAGGTATTAGTTTTTATGTTGACAAAAAATAATCGACAGCTTTTTTAAATTGTATAGCACCTGGATATGAACAACGTAAATTATTCAGTGATTGAGCTAACCTCTACAAGAGAAGATATTGAAGTAACATCTTCAACTACTTTTCAGTAAGCTCTTCTTTACGCAACGCTTTTACTAACAAACATAACTTAACGTTTAAGTTGTTTCAGCTTAACACCAAGTACTACGTAATCGTATGGTAATTAATTAAGGGGTTGTAAATATAGGTATGCTTTGTATTAATTTAAACTAACGTACCAAATGAAGGGGGTCTTAAAGTGACTGAGCCTCGCTGGGTGAAAAATATTAGTATACTTGAAGAGTATTCTTTGCTCTAGAGCATTATCCTTGCCCTCTATAACTATATAAGATGCAAAACACCTGTGATTGCCATCAAGAATTTATTTTTTCCGTTAAATGTACTCTGCTTGTGAACTATAGGTTAATTTTCAAGTTTCTCTTCGTACCTGGGGTTATGAAAAGTAATTATGAGTTTACACACAAATACATGGAGAAGAAAAGATTTAACAACAATAATTTGGCCAAATAATAATATTGGTTGTGGACCTGGGTGTTGCAGTTGCAGGCAGACGAATACGAGTTTTAAAATACAACATTTTATTTTTAATGAAAGCTGTGTGGCGAGTCCTAAAAGTTAGAGTGAAAAAGAGTCTCTTCTGGATCTCTGTTAAAATCCCATTAATTACCAACGAATTTTGGCTATATGATAATTTTCTAGCCTGTTCGAGCGGATCCCACTTAGGACTATAGGTTCTAATAGGTTTATCTTTCAAATTAAAAGTTAGGACTCCTAAGCGTACGAAGCTAACTCTATTTTAGATTGCCCTCCACACAAAATCTTAATTAGCGATAATTCATTCTTAAGGTTTTTTATTTACGTACTAGTTACTTCGTAAGTTTGTTAATTTCCAATATGAAAGTAAATACTAACCATTAAAAGTGTCACTACTTTTTTTTCTTTTGATGCTAGTGTACTTTATTTGGTTTCAACTAACTACACATTTATGATAGGGTTAGTCTATTGATTTTATTAATAAAAAGTGTACTAACAGTAAAAAAATGATAAAACGCTTATTAAAATAACACTGAACAATTTGCAGTGCACTTAACTATGAGGTTGAAGGCAAACCAATAAACTCGACCCCTCGAGGAGGAAGATTTCACGCATGTAAGCGAGTGATATATTGTATACTTTTGATTACATACATATTTCAGTAAATGCCAAATGTGTAACAAAATTTAATATTGCCCATTTCCCAATAGGATCGGTTAATGTTTACGCTACGTTTTTAGAATTAAAACTAATAACATTAGTTATTTGTGCAACTAGTGAGAAAAGTGAGCAATTGACTCACTCGAGAGAAATCCTTACTCACGAGCCGTAGGCGAGTGAGGAATGGTTTCTCGAGTGAGGCAATTGTACTTTGAACTCGAGTTGCACATTATACTTTTCCTACAGTTACCATAAAACAAATAAATTGGTGAAGAAACATAACCTATTTTTACACAGAAGTGAACTTTTAATATAACATTTATTGTGAAGTGACAAATACAACAGTACAAAAGCTGACCAGCTGATTTACAGCCAGTGCTGCCAACGTATTTCACGGGCATACGACGTTGCCTGCATGTTACGCGCTCACTATTTCGTGCCTTCACGTTGAAAATCTGGAGTGAGACAAAGTAATTAGAGTGAGACAATGTTAACATTGTCTCACTGATGAGCGAATTGGCCACTTTGCTTTCTCAAATCAGTGAGAGAACATGTACATTGTTATGTAACTGTAGGAAAAAATAAAAGTATGGACAATTATCATTGCGGCATGACGAATACACAGTGAGTGACTAGGGGGCCCGTGCGCAAATTGTGCAACTTTATAAGAGACCAAAACTTGTTTTCGAGGCCAAAAAATCCATTGTCCTTTCAAAGATTGATTTTTTAAAGACAGTTGTTAGGTGATCAATACCACATTTTCGTGAAATTTTTCGTCTCTTATTTACTATCTAACTGTGGTTAGACATTAAACTGAAGGATAAGCTGTTGTCAAATTGCAATTAAAATTTAAACACGTTATGAAGAAAGTTGTTCAGCAATACTGGATATTTGAAAGTGAACCCTAGAAATAAATGAAATGCCTTAAATGAAATTACCTTTTAGAGTTACATTCGTCCCTCCGCTAAATCATAGGCTGTAAAATGATACCTAAATCGTAAAAATATGTGAAGATAATTTACTAGTATAATATGAACACAAAAAGAGTGATCCTCGAATAACGTTTTTCTCTCCAAAACAAGAAAAATACAAAACAAATGACTGCAGCAGTGCAGTACGTGGTATTGATCTCAGAGAAAACAGCTGATCTAATGGTATATTTAACTGTCATTAGATCAATTATCAGCCAAACGTTTTCTGGATAAATCTTAATTACTATCGGACCACCATTCATTAAGTAATGCATTCACTTAAAGTGAATTCGTATCTGCAGTGAACTTAAAAGTTTTTTTTATTAAAGTAAAAAAATCTGCTGCGCCGACCTTAAACAATACTAATTATGACTGAAATGGCTTAATAAGTGTTCAGTGACAAATTAATGGCATATTTTATGTATACAAATTTTTTCTCTTTTGTGTGTAAAAAAGTTCACAGTGTAAAGGTTTTCTTGGGTTGTATTATCAGGGGACGTACGTTAGATCTATTTTGTTGTCATAGTTTAAAAGTTAGTAAAATAATCTTTTCATGAAGGTAGCTAAACGTAGTCAAACACACCGTAAAAGTGTATTTGATTTACGAACCTTTTGATTTACGTAAGGCTTTGGATTCACAAGGGCGTTGGCTTAATCTATGTAGTACTTATTTATATGTCAATGTTAAGCCCAAGAATAGAATGGTGATAGACATTCTAGGCAGGCAGGATTCAGATCCACGCCATGGCCACTATCGTAGCTGACATGGCATCGAAGACAACCTTCACCCACTGAGCACCCAATGGTTGAATTGTGATATCATTGAGCATATGGTTTTGTATTTTTAACATTTTCTAATCCATGTCTTACAACCTAATTAATTATGAGGTGTCGTATGTACGTTATAGTTTAGTTTTTAGACACTGTTGAGTAGTAGTGTTCAAATTTGTGAGATACTCTACATTAATATGGTTTCCTAAATGACCGTCACTATATAGACTACTGGTCTGTGTTTTGATCTGTAGCCACTGAAGTAGTATTGCACAAGCAAGTGGCGGCCAGAGCAATCTTCAAGATCTCTTAACTTTTAATACTACTGAAGGACACAGTCAGGCAATGGTAAACGTATTACCATTTGAAGAATGTTGAAACAGGTAATCCTCTGCCAAGAATTGAAGACTTTATTTAATACCTTTTTTTTCATATCAATTGCTTGAAATTCGAATAAAGGGGTTATTACTCTAACTTTTTATGGCCAAGCTTAGTCATTACTCATACTAAAAGTTGGTTTTGGAGCATTTAGGGGTAAAACATGTGACATGATGGTAGATACAATACGAAACAATGATATGAAAACATACGTATCATTTGTAATCATAAATTTGGGGCCGATAAGTTTAAAATGATAAAATAAATAGACTGTTTTAATTACTGTTGATTTTTAACTATATAAAATATTAACCTAACCACAAGCGATGTATTACCCTATGTGCTACAGTACCGTATGGCAAAGAATAATTGAAAAATAAATTTAAAACAATTGGCATCCGAAGTCTAGCCATACTCGTAAAGCACTGGTCTACATAGTACCATGAATAAACATAACGCCAAGTTTTTTACGTACGTATGCATGCGATATGCAAATAACAAGGAAATGCTGTAATTATAAACTACAAAAAACTTCCTACCTCACATATAACAAGCAGCATGAAATAATGATCCAACTGAATAATTATTATTCTATACGCACTAATATGCATGGTTCAAATAAAGTGTAATTATTCGTCAAACAAAATTATTTCGCTGAAAAGGGGGCGTAAGCCTGTGTTGTGTAAAAGTTGTTACGAATATAGACCACTGCAATGTTGTGATAGTTGTGGTTGTTCATTCTAGAGGAATATGTAATCATTGGGATGGAATACTGTAGTGCAAGTAGAAACTTTATCGTCCTACTATTTAAAATCTAAAGACCATGTTGATTTAATTATCATGTCGGTGAGCTAATGTCGTCAAAATGTTTCCCTCATATTTAAAGTATAATTTACAACTTGTATTTCAGGTACACCAGCAGGCTGTGTAGTGTGCTTTATACAGGGTGTTTTTAACACAACCCAAATTACAATATAGAGAGTCATTATTTACAGACATATGAAGCTTATAAGTTGGCATTCCTGATTAAAGTAATGTAAAGTATATTATTGTATTATTGATCTTTTTAGTTTATACCATGAATACTAAGTATATGATTCGGGCAGTTGCGTTACTTTTTATGCTTATGATCCATAGAGCTTTCTGTTCTAATATTCGTGGGCATACTGTATTTGATTTATTAGTACTGGAACATCATTTGGAAACTTAATTGTAA